CACTGGTCGATGTATCATCAAATGGTGATGTGACAATAAATTTTTTGACCATTCAATTGAGATCTGTATTATTTCAGCGCGACTCGATTGTCGTGATTGATGAGATTTTCTTGTTCTTGTCCAGCATAAAGTCAGTGTGTGATCATACCACAACATATTCTTCAACAATTTTTGGTTACAATATTGAACAAAGAGTATACCAAGTGAGGATTGAGGAATATCTTCCATCTGCAATGCAATGCCTTAATTTTTTTTGGACAACTCAGGAAGATGTCAAGAAAGATGGAATATCTACATGGCTAGCCAAACATTAACATATTATTAGTATATTGCCCTTGTCTCTGTGCATGTGGTCATACTCCTATTTAATAAAAGTTTAAATTAGCTCATCTGATATCTATAAATATAATTTGTACATTCTAATAATAATAATAATAGTAATATTAAATAATTTCTTTTATGGTTGTAGTTAAATCTTTTCAGTTGTTCTTAGTCTAATAAAAAATAACAAAAAATACAAAATTAATGACAGAACTGCATGGATGCAAACACATTGAAAAGTAAAAAACAAAAACAATATTTACCTCTAGTGACATATCAATACATTTATAATTTGTTCATCTGTCAAATATTAATTGACTATTATCATTTGTCAAACATCATACACACGTTACTTTGTCAACCCCTCGCCACATCTAAAATGTGCAGGTTCCGTTGACCATGCATTCTCAACAATGCACACTCTTCCTCGAAACACAAATGATTGTGCCAGGATACGCCCAACCTTCGAAAAATACAATGTCTATGACTGAAATATTGAGAAATGAGGTCTTTCGTAATTTTCGTAAAGATGTAGAAAATTAATTGATATAAATAGAAAGAGATTATGAAATTTCAATTGTTTGCAATTTAAAATGGCCATCAGGACATGGTCAGTTACATTGACATTGCATTCCAAGGCATACAGGCAAACCTCGAAAGCACCAAAAGGGTGCCCAGGTCACGTGTCAACTCTACTGGTGTTTGAACAACACAAGCTTTGAAAACTGCTTTCGTATTACCTTCTCATGCATACTTGCATTCCTCAACTTACATAAATGATGCATTCGAATCGTGACATAACTCTGAGAACAGCACTTTATCAGAGTAAACATGTGGTTGTCCACTGCACTTGAGTCAAACATGTGTTGGTCCAACGTGCTAAACACCCCGCGCTTCACACATGTTTCCAGCACCGTCTTCGCAATTGCTCCTGATAGTCCAGCGCTACGAGGTAAACCACCTTGGTTAGCATTCAGCATTCTCATGCACTTCTCCGTTTCTTCACAAATCTTAATCAGTCCGTGTGACGGTAGCTTTAAACCCCCATTCGTCTTCCATGTTACGAACAAGTCCGGTATGTTCTCTTTCGTCGTCGTCAGAACCGTTGTACATTGTGTGCAATGGATCTTTTTCGTCACCATCTTCGAGACGTATCCAGCAATATACGATATTGCAGCCTCCTTGTACTCAGACAGTTCAATGGCATTAGACACATCACAGTAGTCATGATCGACGGCAGCTGGCTCTCTTAACTCCAGGTCGTATCGCCTTGCAATCGCTACGTCTGAGATCCCAGTCGGCGTCTCTTCAATTTCACACTGGTCTTTGACGCAGTCTAATATCTGCGTGTCATCTTGAGCAACGCAGTTTCCACGACCTCCTTCAATATTGTGTCTCATCAGCAGTTGCTTGTACGCTGCTACAAACTGGCGTGTGGTTGGATTATTATTCCATCCTCCGCATGCTCGCACAGCACCGAAGAACAACTCCAAGTGATCTTGGCTCATCTTGTACGTCAAGAGGTACTTTAGCACTGGTTTCTCCGTCATAACCAGATCGTCGGCCAATCCCAACACAGCTTTGATGCAAATAAGAAAACCAATAAACCCGGTCTTTCTTTTTGTCTTGAGAATCGATCTACCATCAGGACCTTTCAGATTTCGGATGTACGCACTCGCCTGGTCCAGAAACTTCTTCGTGTACTGATAATTCGATCTCCTGATTGGCGCTTTGTAATTCTTCGCCAGCCGGTTTCTGGAATTCAGAACATCAAAGAGACGATCAAAAACACGAATGAACTTCACTGTCGGACCACATCCCTGAAATTGTGGCAATTTCAGCTTACCTTCGCAGTATTCTAAAGCATCCGCGACACTCGAACTGAGGGCCTGTGCCGCAAGGTTTACCTTCATTTTCTGTGGTTTCCATTTGATATGCGCTGCCCGGAGCTTATTTGCGAGATGCAAACCCTCCGATTCTTGCAACTGATGCAATTTATCGATGAATTGCCACTGGATGGTGTTGCCATCTTCATCCTTCAGAACTTGCCAGTCCGACATTGTGTTTCGCACCAACTTTATCATGTGGCAGGCATCCAGAAACACGTAGATCTTGGCCTCTGGGTCACACGGATGCGGAAAATACGCCTGCAGGCTATCAGGTGTAAGAATTGCGCCGAGCTCCTTTAACATCGCCTGGTGGGTCGATGGACCGTCGCATGTGAAAGAAATCACCTTCACCCCGACTTCATGCAATTTTCGAATGCATTCTTTCGTTAAGTTGGCCTTCTCTTCACCAGTGAGTCCATTTACTAGAAAATATCCACAGGGTATTTTCCAACTTGAGTTTGCACATACAGCCATGTACACAAGAGCATCGGTTGCCTCAGGAAGAGAGTCGTCTTCAATGCCCGTTCCGAGGTCGACATACCCACGCATTCTTTGCCCATCCCACTCGACATGCTTGCGTATGGACATCTCATCCAAGTTGAGAGCGCAAACAACTTCCTCACCTTTTCTTTTTGCAGCGATGACCGTAGCTTTCAAAGCTGTCAAGGCATCTTTCGTGAAACCGGGTTCACCATCCATCGAAGTATACCACGATCGGATCACAGATACGTGTGGCAGCCCGAGCTGAAAACTCTTCCGAACATAATTATACGCCTTCGTTGAATAAAATTTTAAGGTCAGAGCAAATGACCTTAGCTCGGGCGGATACGCCCCAGGATTTTTGCTTTTCTTTTGCGACACTAACCTCTTCATCAGTTCCTTTGGAACTCCGGAAAAGGTTGTTTCCAAATCGCAGCGCAATCACTATTTATAAGATTACTCTGCCTCAGTTCACTTACCACTGACTCCAAAGTGCTAACCTTTCTCTTTAGCCTTCTTGTCTTTTGCTTTGATGCATTACACTTGTTCTGCAATTTAGTCATTTTGTTTACAAGATTGTCTACATGTTTCTTCATTCTACGAGGGGATTTACTGATATGGTAGGTGTGATCATGATTCACATGACTCATGTGTATTCTTTTTGGAGTACTTACCCCATTAATAAGCATCTCATCAAAGTCTTCATCTGAAGGCTTTCTTTTTCTTCCATGTGCAATTACATCATCAGTAATAACCTCTTTTGTTATACCCTGTACACTTACATTACAAGAGCTTACCTTATCAGTGACACCCTGAACAACTACTTTACCAACACTCTCAGTTGTTGTATCTCCTGCACTGTCTTTGCTTACTATATGTTCAGCTACCTCTTCCATACTCACACAATCTCTGTCTGACATCCAACTTGCAATATCTTTCGATGCAACCTCTACACATTTCACACTTTGTGTTTCCTTGACAGAAATGTTAAATTTAATATTGATAACACAATGAAAATCATCTATGCCACAAGACATACAAGACAAAATGGTACTCATGCACTATCAAGTTATACATTCGATAGTGACAACACTATATGCATTGCAGGTGACCAGAAAAAACTTATGTATGTTTGCAACTAAAAAGTGTGACAATTGTCATTGAGCTAAAATGTGTGACAATTTATTTTTAATGTTAATGAACTTTGCCTCACATAATGATCTTCACTATACAGTTGTTATTAACATGCAGCTCTTGGAGTGGAGTCTAATTAGAAAATTATAATCTTACTTGTTCACTAATTTAAAAGAGGTACAAACCTGAGACTTCTGAAATATTGTTGGGATAGCATATGGCAACAGCATTGTCCTTTGCCCAACTTTTTGCATCATGTCCACACTAAAATGTTCGGAACAGACACGACTTCCCTTATTTGGAGTAAACTCAACAGCAGCATTCTTGTTTATATTCTCCATCCATAAGGCATGTAACTCAGGACTCCTCTCAGCATCAGGAAAACTATATTTCAATGTTAAAGTAGTATGTTAATAAATACCTAGCACCATGCAATTAAAGGTTTTTTAATTCAAATTTTATAGTATGTTAAATATATATTATTTATGTAGTATATCAAGTATGCATTTTGTACATGTTTTTGTAAATTTGATTTTAGAGCTATTGAATAAAAAATGATATCACACTGCATAATTTATTAAGCTTATTTAAATTTAGCTAAATTAAACTTGCCGTCACGAAATACATTGAAAACGAAAAACAGTCAAAACACAATGATGTAATGCAAATTATCTCAAAAGTTAAAGAAATTCAACCCATAATTTATTACAGCTATTTCTGAGTGTACAAAAAATGACGCCATTGCCTTTTACGTGTGAAAAAATATCGTGTTTTTTTGCAATAAAAACTACAAAATAAAGAAATTGCATAAATATCTTACCGATGGGAGGTAATATTCTCCTTTGAGAAGGAATTATGACAACCAAAAACGCAGCAAAACTTAGGCATTTTTTAAATTTAGTGAAAAACGGGAAAGATGAATAAAAAAATATTCAAAAACTGATAACAGTAAAAAATCGGGAGGGTGATGGACACAGTTTTTGACTTTGTATCGCGGTATGTCAGTGGTAATTACCATGGGCAAAGGGGACCATGTGGCGTCAGCAAAGCTGAAAATCCGCCATCTTTTCTGTTACACTTTTTGGCAGCGAGCCGGTCCTCCAGGAATTATTATATAGCTCAGTGTGAAGAGAGCCGAAATTGCGGTGAAGAGCGGTTGAAATTTCTTATTTTTTGCCTGTTTTAAAGACACGGCTTCTGCGCGTGCGCCAGCCTGGGGACTCCACCCGAAGTTGATAATCCCCCGGATTGTTCAGTCTAAAAACCATGACCAGCCGACAATTTAAGAAAGAAATTCTCAATCTTTCAAGAGCACTGAGTCATGTCGTCGAGTAGAAAAGAATATTATGCTAGTAGAGATGCCTCTAAAGTGTATTTGTTGGGTTCTTTCCCTCGATGGAGAGCGTTTAAGGAGCAGCATAAATTGAGAACAGACAAGGATGTGGCGGATATGCTTCTTGACAGCTATCTTGCGATGAATCGTATAGTTTGGTAAGTATAAAATGATAAAACCTTTGACCTTTTTTGTGTGTTATTTGTTTACTTCATAATGCTTTTTATGTATGTGTTGAACTCACTTTAGCAATGCAGAGACGCAAACCGAAACGGTAATGGAATCAAGGGATATGCCGCCAAGTACACCCAAATATTTTTCTTCTCCCAGTAAGAACATATGTTTTAAAGTGCTGCTCCAAAAACGTAAACATTTATTATTTTTTAAAATATTCGCATAAAACATTCGTATGAAATATTTTATAGTTAAAACCTCAACGCCAAACGCGCACTCAAATCCGCGTCCATTGTCTGCTTTGTCGGATGTTAGAACATCATATTCTATCAGGTAATTTGAAACTTATTGTGATTACTGAGTTTATAATTTGAAACCCATACATGCAAAGTTTCGCGCAGAGAGTATTACTTTTTAAATACGCAATATGTGTTTATATCTCAGGTCGGGTCAGAGTGTGATTTCTGACAGTCGAACGTTGACAGCCAAAGATGATAGTTCTGATGATGAAAGTGATGATGATAATGACAATTTTGGTGAACACACTATCCAGGCAGACCAGGTTTTGTCGGACGATTCTCTTGAGTAAGTGATGATGCAAAACCTCAATAATAATCTTTGTGACATTCCTACTGTAATGCTTATTGATTTAAAATATAAATATACACATTATATATCACTGAATATGGCGTAAAATATTTCGTCCAATAATATCTCTTAATGCCATTTTAATGTAGTGTATGTCCCCCGGGTTTTGACGTGCCATTACTGGATGACTTGCTCAATGTGACAATCCGTGGACATGATGGAGATGAGCCCACAGAAGATGTTGGAACCCAACAACAACAACAGCAGCAACATAAGACGACTCAACCAGAATACATCTCTACTGTGGAAGAAGTCAGTCCTGAAGATGCAATCAAGAAAGAAAAGTGTATTGTGTTTACAGACACTCTTATAGCTTTGATAACATCATTACATGGGAGTGTTTGTAAACAACAAGGATGTGGCCGTGTGTTGAGCTATAAGAAAACATATGTTGGAACATGCCTGGTCGTATCCTGGGGGTGTAGGTCTGGTCATGTTGGAGGCAGATGGGCAGCTCAACCCTCTTGCAACAAGATTAGAGCAGGCAACCTCGTGCTTGCTTCTGCTTTGTTGTTGTCTGGCATTCCTACGCCAAGGTGGGGTTGATGTTCAACTTCTGTAATCTGCAGTATTTCTCATCAATATTATTCAATCAGTGTCAGAAGTTGTACATCATCCCTGCCATTAATGACTAACAAAGAGGTTATATTGAGTGGTGATGGAAGGAATGACTCGCCTGGCCATAGTGCACAATATTGTACTTACAGCTTGGCTGATACCAATGATCGTGCCATACTGCAAATGAATGTGGTTGATGTGAGAGAAGCTGCTGGTAAGAGCAATAATATGGAGAGGATTGGGTTTGAAAGAGGGATGGACACACTGCTTGCATCACCAATAGTTATGAAGGAGGTGGTAACTGATGGTCATATTGAAATTGCGGCATTGATGAGTAAGTATCTACATTATAACAATATGGCAATTCCTGAAACTCTAATAGTTCAACCTGTTATAATCAATATTTTCAGACTTTCAATAATTTAACAACTTCATTTGCAGATTGATTACAATGTTATATAATTAATTGTGTTTACCCTTTAAAAGACAGTAAGGGAATATTTACAACATGCATTTGTTTATTAAGCATTATTGCATTCTTTAGAAAGGGAAGAGAAATATAAGGAGGTCACACATCAGAATGAGAATGATGTGTGGCATGGAGCAAAGAACATTGCAAAGAAAATCACTACTGTAAGTATTGAAGATATCAACCAGCAATTAGTTAAAAAACTTTCTTTATTTAGAATTGATTTTATTCTTTAGGCTGCTAAATCTAAAGACAATGCAGATTTGACCTTGTGGGCACCATCAATAAGGAACCATTTTTGGTATTGTTCAAAAACATGTGCTAATGACTCAAAAAATCTCAAAGTAAGATTCACATTGAAGTACTACTGGTTTTTGCAGCAATACTTATCTAGTTCGTGCAAACTGTACATACATGTGTTAATATGTAGTCACTTTATGTTGTATTTTTTATATTTTTTAATAGGATAAGTGGATTGGTATTTTACACCATGTTTTTGATGAGCATGAGTGGGTGTTGGAGGAAGGTGTAAATGGTGGAAAATGTGAACATGATCCTCTTAATGAAAGTGAGAGAAAGAAGCCATGGCTTAAGAAAGAGTCTTCTGCCCATAAAGCACTGGCAAAGATCATTCTGGACACTCGCTTTTTAAACACTTTGGTGTATTATGTTAACTTCAGGTAACAAATGAGATTGGATATTTGAAAATTTCAGATAAGTTATATCATCTCAAAGTTTGATATATTTTTTAGGCACACAGGATTTTTAGAGTCCTTTCATAATGTAATTTTGATGTATGCTCCAAAGCGCCATGCCTATTCGTAAGTTTATGACATATTATTACAAAGGTAATAGCTAATAAAACTCCTATCATGGTTGATTTCCATGCAAGGAAGCATTGTTAATAAAAGAATGTTGATGTTTGTTGTATCTTCAGATACTCAGTATACCAAGCTAGAAACCAGCTTGCTGCCTTGGACTTTAACCACCACAGAGGCCGAGCACCAGCAACTACAGCTGATGGGAAAGAAAGGTACTGGTATTGAAATTTTTGCCTTAGTGTTCCCATCCTAAGTGTGAACAACTTTTCAGGTCCTGTGCATTCTTATAGTGTAATGGTACTCATATTGGGATTGTAAAGTTATTTTTATTAGGTACGGTCGGAAGTTCAGTAAGCGTACACAACAGTGGTGCCGTGTTCGTGTTCTTGTACCAAAAGAATTTAGTTACATTCCTGAACTGATGCAGAAGGTTTTTATAAAGAGGATCGAATCAGAAGGGAATGTAAACAAAAGACTTGGTATTCCAAGTGATGATCCTAGACAAATTGCACCCAATATTGCCCCTGTTCCTCCTCCATCAGTACAGACACTTGTCGACACACATAAAACAAGATTTTAATGGTTGTGTGTAAAATCAAGTTACTTTGGGAAGGTGGAGCTCATTAGCCATGGTAGGCAGTGCAGTTCACCTAAGAGAAGGAAAACTCTAATTTCAAACCCCCAGACCCTAGGTCAGGCTGTCCATGTCGGAATCATTGATGTTATCAACGAACACACACACAACGTGTTTTTTCAAGTCACAAATGCAAAATACACACAAATATTAATAGAACAATACCTATCATTCGCTGCGAGCAAGCCTTTACGTTTCTCCTTCCCCATCTTTCGGCGCCGTAGTTCGTTCTGAAATCAAATAAGCAAGGAAAAACTAAATTAAAGTAACTGCTCTCTTGCATTTGACATTTTCAACCGGAATATAGAAGATGAAGCAGTAAAAATCGGCAGGAATATCACCACGTACCTAAGCAAGACTTCCAACTTTTCCCGAACTTCCTCGAAACTGCAAGTGCAAAGACTGAGTTTCGTCTAGATTGTAGGTTCAACTGCCTTTTATTACTTCAAAGACAAAGAAAATTCCAATGGACAATGAACGCATTGACAACAATAGATAATCAACTAACTCATGCCAGACTTGCTTTAATTATATAAATCATATAATTAAAATAAACGTGTTATTTCTATACTCAATGTTCTTAATTAGAACAACGCATTTTGCAATATCTTAAAATGGAGATATTTCTATTTCGCAATGCGTCCTGAAGAATAGTAGTGCAAAATATGTTTCTAGAAATGTTTATTGCAAAAATAGTTATATACTTGACTAAGCTATTCTTGATAAAAAGATATAAAACAATTTTACATGCTGAATCATAGGAGTTCATATTTTTATACTTGATATGTCTACTACAAACATGTCTCACTAGTGGTATTTGTTTTAAGTTATAAGGTTTGTTCAATCCTAGGAAACATTTTGTGATTATAAGAAGGAAGCTTAAACAGCAGATTCCTCCTTGTCAGCATAAGGAGGTGGAGGTTCATTTGGTGGAGTTCTTGTTCCAGGACCATTTACAACACGACAGCGCGGCTCTGCTGAGTATGGTGGTGGCAACTCAGTATGACCTTGTGGAGTTGTTTCAACTGGTGGTGTAATGACACCTGCATGAATGAAAATAAGTTTAGAAAAATGTGGCATAGCCAGCTGAACAATTTAGTCATGCTATGCTAATATTTTGGTGTTCATTGACTGTGAAAACAATGAATTTCTAAAGAAATGAATAATGATAATAAAATAAAATTTGCTACGCCACTGCAAATTTTATTAACTATAAATATATTTGCAATTTTTTTAAAAACTGTCTTTAATTACTAGACAATTACAATAGTACTTATTAATGGTGGCTACCTTTGAATGAATGTAGTTGCAATTGATTGAAGAACAGCCATAAAATACAATTTAAGCTAACATTTTGTCCTTAACCTAAGACATTTTCAAAGCAAATGAAATATAATACAGATGATACATAGAATACAAATATAACTATTTACAAAAACAAATTCATAAGTATGATTTACAACCCACAGATAGATGGTGTTGCTATGAGCTCACACTGGTGGAGTATCTACCTTGCCAATTTTAAACAATTGCCATATCGCCGTTATGTGGATGAATGTTTTTTAATTTTGCAGTCTTCTGAGCATTTACCCTAATTCTTCGATTATCTCAATCGCCAACAACAGGATCTAATTCCACGCTAGCCTTTCTCAACATTAATATCACACACGCAAGAATAGTGTTTTCGAAACCTCCATCTACCAAAAGCCATCTCTTACAGTTCTGTTCACTAACTTCCATAGTTGCCTCTTTGACCACTGCGTACAAACATTTTTGGACAAAATGAATGGCTCAATTTTGTGTAGTATATTCCTTTAAGTGTTGTTGCTGTTCCGCAAAGTATTTGGGCCAAACAGTCTGTCACTTACACACAGACAAGTATCTCAACACTTAGGTATTTCTGCCCTCACATGTCAAAGAAGTGGTACCCCTGTGCTATCCACCTCAACAGTACTGCTCATACTGCTTGGCTAGACAACTTCAAAATTCTATCTTAATGCGCTTTCCCCAACGAACATCTTGTTCACGAAAGGCTTCTCATCTCCAAATATAAACCTTGTCTAAATATACAGGTTAATTCTGTTCCTTTGCTTCCACTCTGATCCAGTCCACTCTCATACTTGTAAATTTGTTTTTGCAAATAGTTATAATTATTATATGCTATATACCTGTTCTATATAATACAGATTCATATTTCATTCGCTTTGAAAATGTCTTAGCTTTAAGACGAAATGTTAGCTTTTATATTAAATTGTATTGAAAAAAAATTGTGTTATGGCTGTTTTCTTGTATTTTTTGCTTGACTGAATGATTAAACTCACCAGGAGAGCATGGAGTTGTTGATTGTGACTGTTCGGTAGCAGATTGTGTTTTTGTCATTTCACTTTGTTTTTTGGACTTTTTGATTCTCTGATGTTGACAGTAAAGCACCAAAAAAAGTATAATCAACAAAACCACCAACCCAGTGCTTAATGAGAACAGCACTGCAAATTCTGTTTTGCCTGATAGCCCATTACCTAGAAAAACATGAAGAGCCTGAGTTGTTACTTCACTTTACAAATTGTGCCATTGGATTGTCAAATATGGCAACTGCTAATGAAAATGGAGATAAATTTCACACCTTGTAAACACTCAAATTCACAACAGGTTCCCTCAACTTGTTTATAACGATCACAACCAGGTAATTGAGGACATTTCTCAAAGAAGCAGCCCATAGCTTGTCCAGCAAGGCATTTGCATTTCTTACAGATATCTTTTGCATTTGGAGTAAAATATTCTCCATGTAACACAGGTTGATTTAAACTGTTCCAACACTTGGCACCTAAATATGGACTAGTTATTAGATATTGTTATGCAGAAACACTGACCTATCATTATCTTTGTTTAGAATATTGCCACTATTTTTGTACATTATTATCATAATTATGTTGTCATGTCTTTATGCAGCTGCAAAATATGCATAGATAAAAATGTTTTCTTACATATGCCATAGGCAAGCATAACTAGCAGTAAGAAAACACATATTTGACACATATTCCACCCAGCTTTGCATTGAAAAAAAATTAAATGGTATGTTATAAGTTAAGGAAAACTTGCCTGAATTATGCATCATTTTGTTTGGATAGAATTCCTCTAAAAGTCAAGAGAAAATATATGTGATCTAGTTAAATCATAATTTGGCTACAATAATTTAAACTTCTGTTCACTATTGACTACCAAACTATGAAATATCGAATGAAAACGTATCACACAGATTGCTGTAAGAGCGAGTACAAGGTCAAATTAATTTCATTTATTTCGTCAATCAAAAAGGCACGTTCCCCTCGGCAAATATTGGTGTGAACGTAGGGAACAAGAGTTCATAAAAGTGAACTAAATCTGTCATCGACTTGTCATGTATGTTTCGAGTATAAGCAAATATTTTTTAAGGAGAAAAGATATTTTTAAAAGATAAGAAATTAAGTTGAGGAATTCGTTAAACGGCTTAGCGTGTCAAATAGTAACTAGGGAACCTTAGAACGGACTTAACAAAAAGATAGCAAAAACTTGGCTTAAAAATAAAACAGTAATAATTTCATATGATTTCAATCATTTCATCCATCATAACTTGCATGTGCTCGAAAATTGACGTAAATGTCCTAGGACAGGCCATTTTACTAATAGACATTGACAACAATGACTTTTAATAGCAAGCAACAGGCCGATATACAATTCGAATAAACAGCATTGGATTTCTACTCACGAAGAAACAAGGGATAGTTGGTCGATTAAGGTTCGTATTTCGACAAACACAACCTGGCTTTTATACTTGTTTGCAGTGTGTAAACACAAAGTTAAATATGCGTTACAGCAAAATGTACACATAGTATTCATCTCCTTAGAGAGTTATCTCAAATATCTAACCCACTTACCTTTCTAATATGAATCAATATTAAGTACAAAACATAGTTTTTCTTCAAACGCCATTTCTGCGCTCGAGACAAGATAAATAACTTATGACAATAATTATGCTAATATATTCAGTACCTGTTTATGACGCTGGTTGCCTAGCTGTGGCTAATAACAATTCAATACAAAAACTTCTACTTTGTGATGTTTCTTTACGACTTCCCAAACAAAATAAGCGCACACAAGTTTTTCATGTTAGAAGCGACAAAAATACAGACAGTTGTTCATATCATATCACTCATCTCTTCATTTGATCCACTCCGATTATGATGACCTTTTAGTAAGGTTAAAAATTGCGCATACTTAGTAATCCTCGTATTTTTATTCTAGTATTTTTTTAGTATAAAATGCGACGTTTAAACCAACTGTTCCCACACCGAAGTAAAACAATGAAAATAGAGTAATATTTCCATGATATGAAAAGCAATAAACATAGCAGTCTGTCAGACAATCCCAAACCCCCCGTGGCGACTACGGTATTATATCGATTTTATTAGAAGACACGGCGCCCTTTCAAATAGCCTGTTTGGCTGTTAATTATTATGGCTAAAACAATCGATTATTCCTACAAACGTGGGCAGCATTGAGTGCAATATTCATTTCTACTAAGAGGAATAGAGAAAACATTTTGACTCTCAAAAATTTATTTCTCGTTGAAAACGTTTTTGGTCTTACGTCATAAGTTTCATAAGCATCTAATGTTTTCACACTTTGACAAACGTCTTTTAAAATTTGTTCACCGTTTTTTCTCAACAAGTATCCATCAGCTTAAGGTGCGTCTAACGCCTAGAGGTGAGCTTAGGAAGAGTGGTACATGTTTCAAACGAGTTTCAGACTTCAGTGTGACTCATTTGTCGCACATGACACGGGATTTCCAGTCCTCTCCATGCTGAAAAAATGACACTTTTTGGGGGTATCTTAAATTTCTTAATCCCTCCTGCAAACTTGGCATCTACACATTTGCTACACAATTGGAAAGTTCACAGCCTTCTATATATAAAAATCTATTGCTAATTTGTTACAAAAGGGATGGTTAGGTTTAACATACCGAAGGCAAAACATCAATTTTTACATGACAGAAAGAGGTCATTCAGACATAGATTCATCTTTTTCTGATTCACTTTCTTTTTTCTTTGATTTTTTACTCGCTGGGGATTTTGTTGGTGTCTAAAAGAATAAAAAATAACTCAGAAAGTCCTTCAGTACTCGAATGCGGACGAGTAACATTTACAGTCGCGATAATGTATGAATTGCGTACCTCTTTCTTGTTTCTCTTTATTTGCTTTTTGGCTGTCTCGTCTTCAGAACTACTGTCATCTGTATCGACAAATTCAGCACTTTTAAATTTTCCTGTATCCTCTTTTTTTGGAGAAGAGTTCGACATTTTCTTGCTTGACTTTTTTGAACTTCCACTACAGATAGAGAAATATTTTGATGATTTCATGTATTTTTTAGAACAGATCTAGCATTCGAGATGTACCTTTTCGGAGGAGCTTCAATTTCCACTTTATTATCTTTATATTCTTTCATCTGTTCTTCATATCTAACTTTAGCTTCAGCTGCTAGTTTGTTCCACTTCTAATAATAAATATAAACTAATAAAATACAAGACCTCACATGTGTTGAACTAATGAAAAACTAGGTGGTTGTTCCTTGTCATGATGACCCTCACATACACATACATAAACACTTACTGACTTGTCTTCCAATGCTTTCCATAAAACACCAGCTTTCTTGGATAGCTCTGTGATTGAAATACCAGGATTGGCTTTTTTAATTTCATCTCGAGTATGATTCAACCATAACATGTATGCTGAAAGTGCTTTCTTGGTGCATTTGGGTCTTTTTTTACTCGTTTCTTTGATTTTACTTGCTTTATTTCCTTTTCTTTCTAAAATGAGTGGAAACAACAATGACTATATTTACTGCAAATATTCTGCAAATTTTAAAGTTACTGGGACATATCAAATACAAAAAACTACCTTATCCTTCTTTGGTTTTTCTTCAGTTTTTCTTCGCTCTTCTTTACCTTTTTTCTTTTCTTTTTGAGTTTTACTTCTTGATTTTCCTTCATCCTCAGATTCATCAGACTGATCTTCACTGTCTGTTGGTGAAACATCACTGGCATACCTAAATACAGTTTACAATAATATAACAGGATTTTCTTCATCATTCACAATGAATGATGATTGGTCTACAGTCACTGTGACCACCAAGACCACCGCAATTTTAATTTGTGACATATAGGATTCAACATCACTTTCTTTTAGATGTTGAGAGATATCATTAACCTTACTTAACACCACAAGCTAATTTGTATGTTTAAACACATTAATATTAGGCACATCTCTTCTCTAACATCTTTCTCGTCCTCATCACCAGGATTAAAGGAAGCATCAGAACCATCTGAAAGACCAATTAACAGATAAAATACAACAGTTTAATCAAGTATTAGCCTGAGAACAAAGACGTACTACAAATGATGAATGAATAATTCTTTCCTAATCCTTTGTTACCTTCAGAATCACTGTCATCCTCATTTCTTTCAGCTCCTTCGCTTTCATCTGTTCTAAATAAGCATCATGTTCCTCTTCATCTGACCCAGAGTAACTCCAGAAGTTCTCACTTTTTTCTTAAAAATATAGAAAATTTTTACTTTGATATTGAATTGTTAAATGACGTGCAGAATATTGCATGATTGCTACCTTAATTCCCTTATTCTTAATTTTGAGATTCTTAGCACTCACAAATCAAATAACTTGCTGTATTCCTCCCTTAAAAGAAACATATTATTATAATTAGGAGACAAATACAGAGTTTGACACTTGCACTTAATAAATTGTTAAATAAAACATACTTGTCAATACTGCTAAATGTTATTACACTGCCATTCTTGTGCTCAACTTCAAAATCGAATGACTACTTGACGTCCCTCCTCCACTTTGCACTCGAGCAAAGTTCACACAAGATATCTCATCAAAACGAATATGGACTGGAGGTTTTGGTACAAACATGAAACTCGTATATTCGCTTTATAATGCAGGAGATTGAGCTGAATGAACTATGGCTGAAAAGAAACAACATTCTCAGCAAAGTATAATATTCATTGGTATATATACTGCGCAGTGGATAGTCAGATATATACCTTTTAAAGTTCCAGGTATTGTGATTTTGCGCCAGTCACAGCTTTAATAAGTCTGGACATCACTTCATGAATGGGTCCATTCATTTCTGATGATAATTTGGATTTATATTTTTCAGTCAATTCTTCTCTAAACAATAAATTGTTGCACCATTTTCAACATCAGAATTTAGTGCCATTCATTGTACACTGAGTAGAACAGTAAAGTGCACCTAGCCATATGCAATAGAATGAGAACTCTTGCATACAGGGGAAAACATATCAGGTCAGAAGTGTTTCTTTGATGTTAGAATTCAATGATTGTGAATTGAATGAACCAATAAAACTTACTCGGTTAGGTTCAGTTTAGCTTCAACTTCCTCATCTTTGTCAAAGCGGAATATGATAAAAGGATATCTTGTTTGACCTTGTTTAATTGGTGGATCTGTGCTGATCTATAGAAAAGTTTTACGATTATTTACAGCAAAAAAATAGAAAATGAGTAGTTATTGATAGCACACAGCTGATATAAAAGAAAGATTTCTGTTTCCTACCACAAAAAACACAAATCTATTATCTCTGTGGGGTAAAAGGAATATTCTTAAGATTGTTGTATATGGAATCTTGTAGTCATAGGTTTTGCCATGGAGTTGTAGAAAACTTGGATAGATTTTTGTTGTATATCGACCTCTGGAAATATCAAGAAAAAATCACTGATAGGAACATGACACACTGTGGTAATAAGATATAATATATACAGTTGATACCAAACCTTGGTGTCAATATTGCAACTTCTTCAAAGGTAACAATTGCATCCCCCGTGGCTTGAATGACATCTGCTTTTGCAAGTACTTTCTCGTGGAATGTCTGCACAAAGATATACAATGCCATATTCACCTTTTTTTTACTCATTAATTTATATGTAAAACTGCCTCTGGTTCAGGCTTATTTGCCCAATAGTTAAAACTCACTTTTACAGGGTCAGCATCAGTGCCATCATTGTTTGGTGGGACATAAAACCTCATTTCCATTAATGCAATTTCTGCATCATCATGCTGATGAAATTCCAGAGTTACTTCATTCTTGCCTAAATATTATGTACAACACTTGATCAAACAAGAGCAAAAATATGATATGACCTATATGACTATGAGAGAGTATGTCCCTCAACCATATTGCAAGCTTGTAAGTATAAGCACAAACCTGTTGTTGCAGCAGAAACATCTTTCAAAGGAATCTCAAATGCTGGTTTGTTGTCAACATCAAAGCTTAGAACTGAATCTGAGGGGAAACAAGTAATGTATTTAATAATAATTTGAAACATGATCATTCAAGTTTAGAGAAAAAGTAAGTCATTAAACATCTAACCTGTGAACTGGGTACTACCCCAGTTCCAACCTTTAACAGACAATTCAATTTCTTCAAGTTCTGTTCCAAAATTACTTGAAATGAAACTGGAGATTTTTTCAAAATCCTGCAAATAGGATAATTAAACTATGTTATGTACAATAGTCCTGAATTAAGATGACTTCTGGATTTTCTAAACCCCTCATTGCTATTACTTGTATATATTGACACTCTGATAAGTGATTTGGCAAAGTGAATGTGCTAATATAACCATTCATTTTCTTCATATTTTATACAACTAGAGAGTGATAATCTAATACCCACTGTATGTCAGGTCCAAGTGAATGGGCTGAATACTATTGTAATTCAGTTTAATTTGAAAAAACTTTGGGATTGAGGAGCTATTTTGATTGCTAAGGCTGCAGAAGCCAGAAGGGAGTTTCCTTGGGAAGCGTGGTACATGTTATTAGGTCGCATTACATGAATATTACAGAGGGCCCCTGGGTCAAACCTGTAAGTGGGGGTAACATTATAGTGGGAGGGGGGGTGGGGTAACATTATAGTGGGAGGGGGTGGGGGTAACATAGTGGGAGGGGGGGTGGGGTAACATTATAGTGGGAGGGGGGGGGTTAAATAGGTTTGTTGGACCTGCCTGGATATCACCTTGTTGTCAGTGTAGTTTACTACAGTAATAGTGTTATAATAATAACAATAATAATAGCAGTCAATTACGGAATCGTTGTCTTACCGCCTCTTTGAATCCTTCAAACTTGAACTGTGCTCCAGTATTGAGGATAAATTTTACTTCGTATCCAAATGCAACTTTCATCCATTTTACGGATGCTAAATCGCTGGAATTCAACTGCTCAACTTTGCCAGTTTTGTTGTTCTTGAATACGACGCCAGTTTTATGAAGTTTTAACTTTCCACTATTCTAATCAAATATTTAAAAAATACACGTGTTTTTACATTTGAGAGTTGTCCTTACGAACAGTATCTCCATCCATATATTTTATTTAACTTACCAAACATCCTCTAACTAGCAAACATATATCACTGAATTCAACTTCCGAACTCATTATAAAATTACGTTTCTTGTTATATATTTCTTCTTTCCCGCCTCTACTTGCTTTCGTAATTCGTAAACCAAGGAAGCTCAGCGTGGAGGAAAAAGACAGCTTCCACTTCACCAGACCACTTTACAAAATTCTTCACCAAAACTTTTAGTCTGTATTAAAGTAAAATGCGTACTAGAGGAATGCCCTGTTTGAAGTTGATCACATGACCCATAGAAAGGCTTTGGAATGTAACTTCAATATTTAAAAAGAGAATATTAATTTCCTCTAGTAACCTTTACTGTAATTTGAAAGTTGCCACATAATTACTTGTTACACATTTTACACTGCACAATAAAATTGTATATACATTATGTTTAGTGATATGAACATGTTTTTTGAAGTCAAATTGCTGTCAATAATTGTTCAGTTGTCCAGGAAGCATACACTTACTGCCCTGACACTTTTCTTGTATTTAACTGAGCAAACTTAAATTAAAACGACCTGTTAAAGCACCATAGTCCAACTAAAAGAAGGATATATTGAGTACGAGAAAATCTGTTTCTTCTCACACTCCACAAAGATCTTCCCAAGAACATCATTTAGATTGCTTTCCTTTCATCTCCTGGCCTATGTTTTCTGAGATGCAAAAACCTTCATTTCCAAAGACTTGTAATTCTGACCAGGTTATCTAGGCATCTCACTAATGCAAGTTTATCAGATACCCTCAAATCTCTATCTGTTTTAATTTAGTTGTTATATTTCCAAATGGATTAGACCACATCTCTTTCAAGTCACCCTAAATGATGAGTGTAGTCCATTAATCAGTTGGAACATAAAATAACAAAAAAATATTAGAAAAACTCACATTTAAATATCCAATGACAAGAAGAGGAAGCAGAGTGGAAGGAACAAGGAACAGTAATGCAGGTTGGGCTGATTTATAGACTTCAGACACTATTGTTGCTGTTAGTAAACCTTAATGAAAGATAATATGAAAAATGATCTTTTTGTACCTGAATAAACAATTTTCATCCTGATACTTACCTACAAAATATCCTATCAGTGAACAATGAAAATACTTAATCTTGGACTCTTCAATTGAATTTGTTAAAGTCTGACGTTTATGATTGTCAAAACGTAAAACAAATGATAAGAGAAGCCCAGGCATGACCTAAAATATGAATTAGAAAAGTCAGTTCTGGTCTAGCTGTCCTACAAGCTAATTTACGTAAACTAAAAAAGGTGGCCTAATTTATAAAACTCACAATATCTCCAAGTCCTAGCATTGACATTCTTCCTCTATCACTGTAACTAAAAAAGGAAAGTGTGTTTCATGGTTATTGCATGGTAATTGATACATTGTGGTTTATGCTACATACATAAAGTGGCTGATGGTATATACATCCGACAGGGGGCTGACTGCCTTCGTGAACTTCTAGTAGAGCACTACAAATCTTTTCAGCAATCATTTCAGTTTATTGTACAAATAATAGTTCAAAAATTTGCAAAAAAGCTATGAACTGTATATCATAATTTATAAAAAACAGATTTTAGAGGATGACAATGTAATGTTTGAGATATTATTACATAACACACACCTTGGAAATACCAATTTTCCTGGCAAAGAAAGATGCTTAGATTGAGGAACTTCTTCATAGGTTGTTGATCCTATTTTGTCAGCTACAAATGACATCTAAATAAAAACTTACAATTTACTTATGACAAATATGGATCTCCATGAAGGTAGTGAGATATTAAGGACAAGTATGAAATGAGTGAATGACCAACATACTGGGTTATCAGCTGGCTGTGTAGCCACCTTCACCATGACATTATCTTTAAATATATACACTGAGAAATAAACCTAAGAAGAGAAAGAAAGGCAGTCGGAAAACTATAGGAAATATGAAAATATTAAAGATATTTTGAAAAAGACTTACCCAAAATACATCATAAACTACCAGACCAAGCAAAAGTAGAATTGACACTTTCAAACTTGGAAGTCGTAAATATGCTATCATTGATATGCACAATCCCATTGCTAAGGCTATGAAAGAGTTACATAACATTCTATAGTTTAGACTGAATAGACAGGACAGGTAAATAGATTAAAATGTTTACATGGTAATTTATAGACACAAAAATGCAACAAACCATCCATTAATATCCAATGACCAGTCATCATCCAAACCATAACAAGAGATAATGAACAGAATAGAGATAGTAGTTCTGCCTGAGTAAAACGTCCACATGACCCAAATGATATTCTAGCAGATAACGATAGCCTTTAACTAGTATTCTAATTATTGCAAATACCGCATCACCATATGTAATTGGCAAGACAAGGAACATGTGACAATTTATAGGTACATACTTGCAGTTTGGATTTCCAATTGGCCGTAAAACATATTGACATAAAGGCAGCAGAAGAAAAGAAAAAGCAATTGTCCCTAAAACTAAAACATTTTTAAAAATTAAATATAATTTTCTTATTTCGTTTTGGTAAATGTGTACTCAAAGGAAACATACCAACTGTACAGAAGGCAAATATTGACTGGAATTTTTCAAAAAAGAAAAACATAAATAACAAGGAGCATGAGGCACCAATAGGAAGAAGCATTGCTTGTGTTGAACTTATTGTGTGAAAATCTAGAAAATTATCATAGCATTGAGGTTTAATTATGTTGACTATCTTGAAATAATGACTGATAGAAATTATTCACAGCAAATATATGCTTATGGTACTATATATTATTGATGCACTTACCTGATGAAAAATTATGAAAAATAAGAATGAAGAATTTGAAGTTTCACTCTCTGCATTATCACCTTCATATTGTTTTGATGATTCAACAGAAAGAGATCTAAAGCATTAAACACAATTATTAAACTTTGAATGAAACAAAATGCATGAAGAAAAAAACCCTGATCAAAAGCACACTTGAATTTCCTATTGAATTTCCTTTTGTTTTTGCAAAATAGCAATATTTAATGATTTAATAAAAACCCAATACACGATACAATTACCACCTAAAACTGCCATAAATAATAAGAACAACTGATACAACCAACGTTGCAACACGAGAACTGTCCAGAGTCATCAACAGCCTCCAAAAGAGAAAAACTTAATATAGTACCCTCACGGCCCTTCCAACAACTATATATATAACAGATATATGATATATATTTAGAACGTATTACGTTATATTATATTTCTAGTCATTAATTTGATATCCTACCATTTATATGCTGATGATTCTTCCATTGAATTTTACGATTTGGGTGGATTAAAAGAAAAATCTGCAATGAAATTACCACAAAGGCCAACAAAGCTCAGTTTATATTTTCAATAATTGATCTTTCAATATATCGCTGATCTTCACGTTCTAGACATGCAGAGACAAGGTTATATTGTTTATTATTTTCAATTCTTGTTATTTTGCTTTGTTTCACAGCTCTCAAACCATAAATTGAGCGTAATTTCGTGGACTATCCAATCTGATCCATATCTTTCTTCTCTTTCGGCATGTACGTTTGTTATTGTCACTTTGTGCATTCGAAGGCTACGGGCATTTCCGGATTCCGGAACGACATCGGAAAGACTTCGTAAACCACAGAATGAGAGTATTGAGCGTAAAAACCACAAAAACTAACGTGTTTCAATCAGAAACAGCCCGATCTCATTGCAAAAATGGTTTCCTTTATGTTAGTTATCAATCCCGATTTTGTCGTACACATTCAATTATTCACTATATGAAAAAATGTGGTAAAAATATCTTGATATGTATTATTAAAGATTGACAGTTCGTGTCATAATCGGAAAATTACGGAGAAACAAAATGGTTTCTGATACTGACAAATGGCAATGTCACACAGTGAACCAACTGTTTGTATTTTTAGTACATGTATAGTTTAAAATTCCAATTACAGAAGTATGATATTCAAAGTTTTTCTATGGTCAAGTTTTGTAGGTATCATAGTGTTTTTCGTGCACAAACAATTATCAACACAAGTTGTCACTTTTGAGCAAACCATATTCATTCCTGGTAGTACAAAAATAGCTGTGTATGAATATTTTAAAGATGTACGAAATAGTATGAAGAGTGTTCAGAACGGAGACACGTAAGATCTTAACAAGAAAATATTTATTAATAAAAATGATTGCTTTTCATACATTTGATACAAAACATCACATGAAATATTTCAATCAATTTTTCTAGTGTCTCTGATGTGGTACATATTCCTGGTGATGGCAGGATGGAACCTGATAAAATAAAATTCAATCGGTTTGAAAAGTTTAACATTCAAGGTTTATATGAACAAGGACTCAAGTCGCCATGTGAAGCTAAATTATTTCCAAATATTCCAAAAATACAGCTTGAATTAAATTTTCTTGAAGGACTTATATATGGAACTGTTATTATTGTATTTAGAGATGGTTCACAAAATGGACTTGCTGGAACCATAGTTACACAATATTTTGAAATTCTTACTCCAAGCTTTTTTTCAAAATTTATACAGGACAACACAAAGTCAACACATAAAATATTTTTGCAAAATGCAAAAATTCATTTGCAAGACAGAGAAACATAGAGTTTATAGACATGTCAGGTGTGGAAGATACCATAAAGTGCATACTAATGATACTATGGTTACAAAATATTGTCAAATATTCAAGGGAGGATATGTGTACCTGTAGAGAAACCATGTAACATTTTAAACAGTTAATAAAAGAAAAGTGAAATGTTCATTTTACAGAAGCTTAAACTTTGGTAGGAAATTCTAGTAATATTTGATGGTTCCAGGGCTAACAATCAAGACTATTGACCCCTGGTCATATGGAAATTAGTTCAAACCTCAAATTGCACCATAATGAAAACTAGGTGAATTACAAGTTCCTCATAACCAAGTGGAAACACAGTAGCCGTATCACTGGCCGTATTTTTCAAGTTTCAGTGTTTGAAGCTGTTTTCAAACAGTATTTTATTAAATCAGCATACGGAGATATTTTGATGTCTAGAGAACGAGACAGTATGTTCAGAGGGAACAACAATGATTGCAGAATCTATGTTGGAAACCTTCCAGAAGATTGTAGGGAGAGAGATATAGAAGATATCTTTTATAAATACGGCAGGATTGCCGACATACGAATTAAACGTGGCGATGCCACCAGAGCGCGACAGAGTCGTCGAGGAGAAAACTTATCCTACGCCTTTGTGCAGTTTGAAGATTCCAGGTAAATTCTTTTAAGCATAAAATGTTTCACAAACTCTGTAGTTGCTGGAAAACTACCTGTTGAAAAAGAGAAAACTTTTGGCTTCCCTAAAACCACGCGGTAACACGTGACGCATGCATGTTGAATGTGTTAGGTACATGGTCTTATGCTCTTTGAAATTTCTTTGTTTATTAGGGATGCTGAGGATGCAGTTAGAGGTCGTGATGGTTATGAATTTGATGGTCGTAGAGTCAGAGTGGAGTTCACTCGTGGTAGCGGGAACAACAGACGCGATAGTGGCCGTGGTTATGGTAATAGTGGTAGTTACGGTGGGGGTGGCAGATCTGGACGTGGGGTACCACCACGACGTTCAAACAACAGAGTGTTAGTGAAAGGCTTACCCCCACGGGCAGTTGGCAAGATATTAAAGACCACATGAGAGAAGCGGGTGAAGTATTATATGCCGAGGTGTATGGAGATGGTTCTGGTATAGTTGAGTTTGCACACTCTGACGATGTCAAATATGCTGTGAAGAATTTGGATGACACTGAGTTTCGTTCACATGAGGTGAGCTATACTTTACGTACATGTATAATTTAATCACTGGTTGGTTTATAAATTATTAACTATATTCAAATTTTTACCATTTCAGTATATAAATATCCTCAACACAATAGTTGTAATCATATCAACAAATTTGATGTTCATTCTCATCAATGAGGATTCAATATCAATGAGAGGACTCCTTTCAAAATCAGGAATCAATTTTCAACACTGAGGAATCAGTGCCCAGATTCCTTTGGTCAATACCAATGATTTCAATTGTCAAGACCAATTTCAAGCATCAGGATTCAGTTCCAACAATAAGGCACTATTTCTGATGTGCACAGATTCAATGAGGAATTTTTTTCATTTCAAAAGTCTGATCAATGAGGAATCATTTCTGATGGTCACTGAGGTCCTGCCTTGATTAATCAATTATTTTAACACGATGATAACTCAATCAGTTTAATACCTTTGAAGTTGAAACAACCTAGTTTTATGGTGCTGGTATGTAAACTCAAGAAATATAGAATACTACCCAATGTGTATACTGTAATATTACAATATATAATGGACAAATTCTTTTGGATACTTGAAAGCCTAAAATTTTTCCAACAAAATTTGATGAATGGTAAACTATTTTAGCGTTGTCTTAATTCTGGCATTTTTCTTATGGAAAGGTTGTGCTGTGTCTTGTTTCTTGGTAATGTAATTACAAATACCTTGTTTAACTTAGGGTGAGACTAGCAGAGTGACTGTGACAGATGATTCTGGAAGTGGTGGTCGTAGGAAGAAAAGCTACTCTAGATCAAGAAGTCGCTCTCGAAGCAGATCCAGTAAACGTTCCCGTAGTCGCTCCAAAGACAACCGCTCTAGAAGCAGATCAAAAAGCAAATCACGAAGTCGCTCCAAGTCTCCAGCTAAGAGTCACTCAAGATCGCCATCTCCAAGGGATTGAGGGAACAAGTGCATCTCCTGTGAACCCCATATATATAGCATGATTTTAGTTACACTATAGTCAATAAAACTTTCTATTGTACAGACTATAACTTGGTTATTCCCAACTTGTATTACATTTATGCATTGTAACTATTCCCTCTGACAATTCTATTGCCAATTTTGTTACTGAAACATCAGGAGTTCAAGTGACAAGATAACTTGCTAATACCATGCTTTACTTACCTAAAAACCAGGAATGTAACATTAAACTCTTGACAAAATTAGGTTTGTAAATCCTATCAATCCTTTGTACCAACCAGTCACCTGTATGTTAGCTAGCATATTATGCTACAATAAGATCTACATTTCTCATCATACTGTGCTATCAATCACATCTTCCTGCACATTGTCAATAATTCATACCTCATTACACTGCTAGTTAGTGTCCTATTGCTGCATTCATGCAAGGAATCAACCCAGTTCCATAATATCTATAGTTTCTGATGGCAAAGCATTTACTCCAAAGGATTCAGGGTATCCTAAATTATGAACAATGTGCACCACAGGCATTTTGTGCCTGGGTGATGTTTTACACAAACTAGATGTAATTATATTTGTTTGGAATCCTTGGCCAATTATTGCTTGCTTCAAATGCATTTGGCTACATAGCAAATTTTCTCATGTTACCATTTTGATAGAATTATATTCTTTATCCTCCAAATATTCATTCTAATTCTGCAGTTGTCCAAAATAATCTCTCTTTATCTTCCAAGAGCTCAAAATTTCCCCCCTTTTTCCTTCAAAATCAAAAAGACAAACATTTTCCATTCTCCTCCAAAATTCTAAAATTATCACTCCTTTTTGAATATATCCTCCAAATATTAGCCATATATTTCCTCCACAATTAAGTGAGATCTGTACAACACAAGTTAAAGGAATGTTAATACTGAAACTCGAGAGAAAGTTGCCTATTTTAATGAAATATCATTTGCGAGTGAATATGTGTATGATTTTTGTGGCAGAAATATGAGGTTTTCATACCAAGCTAAAAAGTAATCCTATCCTTCCAAAATCCTATCTGTCCTACGATTCCTCCACTCCATGTCCATACACAGGAGGATTAAATCATCTACAAATATATAAAATATTCAAATATGTTTATTGAATTTGATGTTGGTTGAACCATTTCTTTTACCATAAGATTTAGCCATAGATGTTCTGTTAAGACCAATGATAGCATTAGACTGACAACTTAAGAATGTCTGCCTCGAAAATCACTCATATGTTTACAGTATTTTGATATTCTGCCATACAATACAAACATTTGCGACCAAAGGTTCCCTGAAAACCATATATCACACATAACAAGTGCTGAAAACTTTTTGCATCAATGATTTAAGATCTAGACCGTGAGCGGCTTCTTGAATAAGATCGCCTTGGCGATCTTGAATATCTTCTTGGTGAAAATGATCGACTTCGTGAACGTCTTGGACTTCTTGATCTGCTATATCTACCAGGTCTTGCTGTTTCATCTTCCTCAACAGTCACATATGATGTTTCATTCTAAAGAAATGAGAGGGTCGGTAAGAAATATAAAAGCCTATGAAATACAAAACATACATTACAACAATATCTTGACTCCAACCTGGTGGGAACGAAATTTGGTATCATTCAATATCCTGACAGCTCTCTTCATATCTTCATGTCGCGCAAACTCAACAACTCCAGTACAATCACTGAAAACATCAGTAAACATGACATCCCCAGCTTCCCTCATATGATCTTTCAAATCTTGCCAGCTTCCAGTTGGAGGAAGATTCTTCACTAAAACACGAAAACCATTACCACGGGGGATAAAAGGTCTTCCACCACGGCCGCGTCCACCTCCCCCACCAAAGCGACTTTGACCACGACCTCCTCTGAAGCCACCACCACCCCCAGCTGAACGTGGTAATTCAACCCTTAACTGATTACCATCAAGATCATAGCCATCACGACCCCTGATTGCATCTTGGGCATCTCTACAAAAACAATATTTTACATCAAAATAAATATTACATATTTTTTTTAAGTTGAAAAATATTCATTTTTGAACAAAATACCTCGGATCTTCAAACTCAATAAAAGCAAATGGTTGACCACCACGTGTATCTTTCTTTAAACTTATGTCCTTAATTGTGCCATATTTATAAAATAAATCATCCAATTCTTTTGCTTTAACGTCATTTGGAAGATTCCCTACATAAACACGACACTCAGCATTGCCTCGATTCATTTTGAACAAGAATTTAGGTAATTTCTTTTTGAAATAGAATACTATGAGATAAAATGGCGTCTACAGATTCCGAAGTAAAAAAAGTACCCCATATATGGTATAATTTTCCAAATATGGAAGTATGGAACATGCAGATGTGTTTCCACCAATGTTTTCCACGCTTTCAAGATTTTCAATGAAGTGAAAATCGCGCAAAGCATGATGGTGTGAAACAGGATACTGAAACAGGACGCCATGCGAAATCCAATCAGCGAGGAGAAAGCACGTGGCGTACTTTTTAAAGCAACATCCGGAAAGAAGCAAATTTCATTCGGAAAGTTGTGTTGTTACGTTTTGGTTGAAACGAGTTTTTCCCAAAGAGTCTACCTTCAATTTCACGTTGAAAACGAATTAGCAAAAAGGTAAAGTTTACTTGCAATGTTGCATTTACATTACCAAAACATTTCGTAAAATTTCAGCTTGTGTAAAATATAAAAGAATATAATTTTCAGCCTGTGTAGTTTCGTTAGTTTGTTTATTCGCCGGTTGCTAATGGTGCTATATTTTCAGATGTCCGAACGAAAGGCTGTTGTAAAGAATGCAGATATGTCAGAAGACATGCAACAAGATGCGATTGATTGCACGGTCCAGGCAATGGAGAAATTTAACATCGAAAAAGACATTGCCGCGTATGTAAAGAAAGAATTTGACAAGAAATTTAACCCAACATGGCATTGTATCGTGGGCAGAAACTTTGGATCGTATGTTACACACGAGACAAAGCATTTCATTTACTTCTACTTGGGACAAGTTGCTATTTTGTTGTTTAAGTCTGGTTGAGTGAACTTTAATGGCATCTTGTTTTGTATAAAACATTTGAACTAACATTACGTTATGCAATATAATAATATATAGATACTAAACATATGCATTGATGTATAAATTTTATATTCAGTTGAGTTGTGAGAGTGAAATAAATTTCTAAACATGCAATTGTTTCAAATTAGCAACTTTCAGAAACAGGAAGGGTAAAAATCGAACTAAAAAGGTTTGTGAATCACCAACATGATTAGTAATGCAAGTGGTGCCTTAGGCATGGGTTTATTAGGCATATATTATTGGCATGATTTAATTTATACCTCAAAAATATACATCGTCTCTATGAAAAATATATTTACAGTTTGAATGCTGAATGAATAGCTGCTACACCAAAAGTTAGATTTTCATAATTCACCATTCTGAAGCCAGAATCTCTTATCAATGAAGCAAATTCATCCTACAAGTTGTAATAATAACTTTTACCAGTTATTTGAGGGTTCCCATTCCTCCTAACAACACAAAGTGAGCCAAACATATATAGTACCATAAACAAGCAAAAAAATACCTGATTAGGAAATTGTCTAATACTTTCCACTAAGTATTGATATGAATCCCAATCCTTAGCAATAATTTGTCCCATCACTGGTATCACTTGAAATGAATACATTTCATATAACCTAAAAGAAAAATTCTACCTGGTGCACCTTGACCTTGCTTTCATGAGTCAATTTAATTAAAATACTTTATAGTACCTCTCAAAAATTGGAGTTGTAACTGCACTAAATTCAAGACACATAAATCTTCCACCTGGAACCAATACTCTATGAGCTTCTTCCAGAGCCTGCAATAGAAAAGGTAGCCTGAAATATAGAAAATTAATTTCTTCTGCCAAGTAGATGTGTCTATATAAAAATCACTCATCATTCACCATCCATATATGCACAATCTTGTTGGCAAAAATTGGTTGAATTATTTAGAGACAAACCTTTTCAACATTGGTAAAGTTACGTATTCCAAATGCAATTGTATAAATATCAAATGTGTTATCTTCAAAAGGTAGTGCTTCACCATTACCACATACCCATGCTATATCTAAGAGGATGGAAAAGTATAATGTATACAATGGAGAGAAGAAAAAAAAGAAAAGTGTATTAGATATCCTTATAATATAAGTATGATATAACGAGCAATTTGATTGGCTACTGCATGTGCATTGTGAGGCCATAATGCACGCTTCTGGCTTTTGAAGTTTTTGTTGCTAAGCAACATCTTAAATAACATGTAAGGAGAATTTTATTATTGATCAAATAAATAAATTTTGTTGTTGCCCTATAATTTCTTCTTATATTATAAAAGAATTAAAAAAGCTCGTCGCGTGCCTTTATGGTGTAATAATGCACTCGGGGAAATGTTGGAAGAATACTCGAGAAGCTTGTAAAACACTCGGCTACGCCTCGTGTTTTACAAGCTTCTCTCGTATTCTCCCAACATTCCCCCATCGTGCATTATTACACCATAAAGGCACGCGACTCGTTTTTTAATTCTTAATTAAAATATTTATCAAACCCTTACCATTTTCTATTCCAAAACGTTTAGCTTTTCTCTTCCCAACATCAAGCATTGCTTGATTAATATCACAGACAATAATTTCACTTCTTTTTCCTTGTGACATTTCTCCCCATTTTTCTTTTTTCTTTTTTTCCCACTGATTGTACTTTATAAAATTCAGATATCTCATTGCAATATCTCCAGTTCCCCCTGCAACATCTAATAATTTGTTCCCATAACAAGGATTTATTTTTCTAATGAAATAATCCTTCCAAGTCCGATGAATACCACCACTCATTAGGTCATTCATTAGATCATATTTCAAAGCCACATTTTCAAACACGTGATGAACTGCAAAAATACAATCTCTTATTGGTACACGTGTTTCAAATCAATGAAACCTAAATCACTCTGGACAAGGCCAGAGTGTTATTGGAATTAAACACATTTATTATATTCATTTTAAAATCAATGGTGTTTCTTGCAATCTGATTGGTTAAGAATTGTGTGATTAATAATCAATCATCTACCAAGGTGACAGATTAAACGTTGCTGCTCATTGAGCAAATTACTTATTAATAAAATTAGTCTTTTAATAGCTAAAAGAATTATATTTACCTATTTTTTTTAGCTTATTACTTTTACTCTAAGTAGCTAGGATACAAAAATTGCATAAGATATTTACCTCTTTCTGATTTTTCTTTCTTTGAGATAGTCTCGAATCCAAAATGTGTAATTTCTTCCTTGATCGTCGAATATCTTCCTCTTGAAAATCTTAAAAAATTGCACAATTGTCTTGATTGTCTTCCAGCAGCCATTATTTCATTTTTTTATATGATTTTTTTATTGGATTTTCCACTGTGATTTTTCCCGCGTGTACAATTTCTATTTTTGTTGCGCGCGCAGTTATCAGCAATGACGCATCCTCGTCCCCAGGACCTAACTATGTGACGTATTCACAACCTCGCCCCAGGGTCTTCTTCGTAGCGCCGGATCTGAAGGTGACGGTTTTGCAACATTTTGTACCTCAAATTCTAGATAAACAATGGAAAGACAATTTTTTACCAAAAAAAGTACTACCAAATAGTACCAAAATATTACCAAAATTTATACTAAAAAACTTTCTTACCAAAGTAAAAAAATTACTGATTCTGACCACACTGCGTGAACTGCGTGTACTTCGCGCGCGTGTTGCCAATTAACAAATGTAAACAAAATCAGCAAATACATTACGTTTTTTGTACAGCACCATAGCAATGGCTTTTCTTTTCTTTTTTTCTCCATAATTTTGTTCATATGATATTATTTAGACGATGGTTTGCACATCTATTTGAGGACAATGGCAGTCAACAAGAAACGTGGTTGGTTTTAGTAATAGTTAATGCATATTTGTTGTACACAGCCTGGTGTAATTACTTGTAGTAATTAAAGTATTCAGAAATTGTAAATTGTTTTCCAGATTTTAAAAGATTGTCAGTGTGCATTCGAGACTTTTTGAAAAGATTACCCTGTGATCAGACCACTGGCTTCTTACGCGACACCCTGTGCTTGTCGTTACTGGAATTACACAAATATTACATCAAGGAGAAAGAACGGTTCGGCGAACAAAAAACACTTGACTCAAGTTCAACATACAGAGCTGTTTTTCAAGATTCATTGGGAGATGCTCAGAAATATGATGGGACATGGAAAGAATGTGATGATGGTGAACAATTTATGGCTGTAAACAGGAATATTCACAATTTACAGGATGGGTTTGGTAAGTTTGATAACTCAATCATTTAAAATCATGTATGGCACAACTTGTATTGCTGTCAGAACTCAGGAATGAATTGTAAGTGCAAGTTCAGTTGAATGCAAATGATGATTTTCTTTATTTTCAGATGACTGTGACTCGCTGGGCAGGACACATTTAATGTATGCAATTCATGGGGACCATCAAGACACCATTGATCACATTCTGTCATTGAACACCAACATCAACCATCAAGCACAAGGTATGTGTCTTAATCACCATACATTAACACCATACATTTATTGCAACAAACTGCAACACAATCATTTTAATCCTCTGTTTAGATGGAAGCAGTGTTTTGCATATTGCTTGTCAACATGAAAAACCATCAGTGGTATCTTTACTTCTTAAAAATAAGGTAAGTTGATAAGGCAAAGTCTATTCTGGGAAATAAAACAGTTCAACAAGCTATATCTCGACTATGAATAAACTAAATATTGCTGAAATTATAATTTGCTACATTACATCTTTTCTGTTTATTTCAGGCAAATGTGTTAGTTACGGATAAGAAAGGGCGCTCACCTCTACACTGGGCAGCAAAATGTAAACTAAGTGACACTGTTAAGGTAGATTTAAAGATGGCCAATATCACCTTTTCATGCATTTTAATATTATTGCCCATTAAAATATAAAATAATTGATTCTAACCATGTAGTTCCTGCTTCAATATGGTGGAGATGTCAGCAGTAAAGATTGTGATGGAATGACACCAGCCATGTGGGCATGTTATTTCCACAAACCAGATAATTTACACATTATAAGAAATGCAATATTGAGAGTTGATCCAAGACCTGAAGCAATACTGGATGAACAAGATAATTTTGGAAGGACTGTTCTTCATTGGATGGTCATGACATGTGATCCCAATGGAAGCTTGGGTGGCTTTAAGGTAGATAATATACATTTGGGACTTCTCAAGGTAGATCAGACAGAGACAAGTCATCCTAAACAACCTTGGAACATTAACATATGTTTAAGGAATTATTGGTGATGGGTGATGTTTGCAATATTAAAGACAACAAGGGAAGAACAATCTTGCATACAGCTGCAATTCAAGGTAGAAATACTTCTGTCTCGTATTCGATGTATCCCTATACTTCTTAACTGAAAAGAATTCATGTTTTAATTTTTTATGTTAAAGGTTCAATATCCATATGTAAAGAGATCATCCAGGTGTGTGGTAAAGAAATCTTGAATGTGAAAGACAACGAGAATCAAACAGCTCTACACTTGGCAACTTTATGTGGCCATGGTGACATGGTTGACTTTCTGCTGCAGCAGGAAGGTAACATAAACCATTTGTTGTATTTAAAATACTACTGAACGACAACAAATCTGGCCCCCTAATTCAGTCTGCAAGCAGGCTACAAGTTGGTCAACCATCTTAAAACTAAATCTGATATTCTTTGTATTTATAGCAAACAGTGAAATTGTGAACAAAAATGAGAGAACAGCTCTACAAGAGGCAGAGATTGGTCATTATCATTACTGTTTGCTGGTGTTTGTTGCATTTGAACAAATAAAAGATAAAACTAAACTATCTACAGATAAAATCAACAATGACATGGAAAAGAAAAATAAAAAATATGAAAGGTTCATTTCCCAAATTTACTCTTTTTCACCTTCATGCAATCTACATTAACAACTGTCAGTTTAGAATGTCATCAAATAACACACTCTTTTTCATTTTTAGTTGGGTGATTCCATCAACATCATTAAATGAATCTCAAGACATCCCAACAAATCTGACAGGGGAACAGCTTGTTGATGTCACAGAAGTTAAGGGATTCGAAATTAACCAAGAAGATCCTGATGAACAGTTTGTCCCAGAGAAACTTGTTACAACCAATATTTTCACAACACAAAATACTGAAAAAGTTGATTCCTCAACCACCATAAAACCCTCTGTACCTGGGAATGACAGTATGAACCTTGATATCTCACAAGATAATCTTCAACCTGGCCCAATGAAGAGGTTTCCACTGACTGGCAGAAGCAATAAAAATACAGTACTTCAGAGAAGTGAGAGAATTGAAGAGATTAAGGAAGAGGATTTAATAATACCAAGGAAAAATGGTAATGATTTTGTTGCTGAAGCAGCTTGCAAAGATAGCAAAAAGATTAACTTTCTTTTTTGCACAGATGAACCTATGCAGGAAAATGGAGAATCTTCAAGTGAGCAAAATGATGATGACGATGAGATATCAAGTCTAAACATTGAGTCTGAAAATGACGAGAGTACAGCAGAGGATGATTATAAACATGAAGGAAGTAACAATGTACGTATTGTCAGTGCAGTAAAGATCAATATGGACAATATCCAGGTGTTCAGTTGAAGAACATATGTAATCTCATGACCTCCATAACTCATTTTAGAATAATATCAAAACAAGTATTGAAAAGAATTCAGGTTCTGCAAAGAACAAAGTAAACAAAGATGGTCTCTCTCCCATCCAACCACAACAGAATTTTAGCTTTCCATTAAAACTAGAACCAATTCCTTTGCCTCGTACAAACAAGACTTTGGCTCGTGGAATAGTTCAACCACTCCAACCTGCAGTATTAAAGAAACAACCTGCAGTATCATTGTTATCCAGGGATAAATTACAACATTATGGTACACCACGGGGTAGAGATCATGGACCTCTTGCCCAGACACACAGCAAGGAATTGTTGGAAAATGTTTTTCGTGGAAATAAGGTATATTACAATTTACAACATCATTCATCTCTCAATACTTCATCATTTCATAAATTCTAGCTGATAAACACTAGAGATATTCTCATAGCAAGCAACCTTATTTGCTATGCCTACTATGGTCAACAAGTGGTAAACAAACATGACTAAAAGTAAACATTTTATTATAGCACAGCATTTAAAACCATTTGCAGGTACAGGACTATCTCTTATTGTGGGAAATGCAATTACATGGCACAAAAGTCTAAAAGCTGAAACTCCATTAATTATATGACTTACATCACAACACCAGCCCACACTTTATGCCACTCTTATATCTTTTTGGGGGATCTTTCAGTGCCTCCCAGCCCCATGCGCCACATAGTATTTTCAAGTAGTACCGGACTCAATGCACCTTGGCTAAGATAAAGATAGTATCAAATTTTGAGAATGAAATTTGTTGTTTAGGAAAACAAAAAAGAAGAGAAAAATGATGAAAGAGTGCAAGATGGGAAGTTCTCTCGACCAAGGGTGAAACATGCTATGTTTCATCCAAAATGATAATAATTAAGACGATAATGATTAATTATAAGTCATTTCAACAACATATATACAAGCACACAAAACATAGCACAACATCTTAAAAGACCACAGTCACCACACTACCAGCATTTGGAAAGGAATGATCCCAGAGAGATTGGGAACACACGTTAGATCTACCAAGAAAATTTTATATTTATTGACATGACTTTCTATTTATTCTAGAATTTTGCATATGTCATTAACATGGAATGTTACAAACACAACAATTTGCAAATGTTTGTTTTGTTTAAAATGTTTGTCATTTGCATCAAGTATTCTGACAAGAGTGGCTCATAAATCATAATGCTTCTCAATCAACTAAATTACAGTATGATACACAGAGGAAAAAATACCTTTACTTTTGTGAGAGAAAATCTTGCAACCCCTCTAAAAACTGAATGTACTGTTGATGTTCGAGTATTGTACTTTTCCTTAGTAGATCAACCAGAAATTCATTGTTGATACCACGTTCCGTCAGCATTCCAATCAAAAGCTCATAAAGATTCTGTAACAAAGTTTAAAGTTCTTAACCAAAAATAATCCTATTTATTTATCATTATTCCCTGAAGGTAGGAGGATGGCCAGGGCCCTGGCTTTGCAAAGGGGCAAGCACACATTTAAGGGGTGTTTTTTAAATAGTTTCTCAAATGATTATGGGAGCAACTGCCCCCTTGGCTATGCCCCTGTCCAGAGGAATAAGAACAATGTTTTTACCTTAGCCACCATTCACTTTGATTCATGTCAATAATATACAGTTGCAAAGTGTTTTGCCAAGTAAACCATAAAAGTCACATAATGGATTTAAAAATTGATATCAAAAAACATCCTTGGGACTCTTGGGTATTATATTCATATTACAAAAGTTTTGGAACTTTGATAAATATGGTCACTTCAAAGAGAGTGGCACCTAATAGAGGTCGGAGTGTATTTTACCATTAGGTTAAAGCACCATGATTTTAAGCAAGCAAGCAACTTACTATAAGTAAGTAACTTACATAATCCATATTTTCAGTTTCACAATGGTAGATTCCAGTCTGATCAGCGTCAGGATGTGGTAATAAACTAACATTAGTGATTGTAAATAATTCATTGTCTTCCTCTCCACTGCTGTCCGAGCTGCTGTCATCATCAATATTGTATTCACAGTTAAAAAGCAATGTTTCACCCTTAAAAAATGATATATGTATGAATGGTCAAGAACAGGGATGTTTGTACAGTTGTACCATCTAGGAAAGTTTCATAGGGAGCTGGTGGCCAGTGTGGTGGTGCATGGCACAAACACCAATTACAGCATCAGTAAACGTGACATTTCTTTGTCAAAGTGAGGCCAGATTTTAATATCATTGAGAGACATATTTCTATTGGTAAAAACCATGGTAGATAGGCGGGATAGGGGTAGGTAGGCATAGGTGTTAACCTACGCATTGCTTTTAAGACTTGGTAAAAATACATACCGAATCTTTGATGATCTGAATAGAAAAGGATGGATATGATGTCATCTAGAAATGAAAATAGAAACTTTGGGTTGTCAAAATGTTGGTTTGTGTGGGTTAATTGCTACATTTTGGTTGTTACATTTTTATGGTTTAATAAGATCAGTTCCAAACCTGCCCATCATTTGTCCCTTCATCATCGTCAAATGTCTCATGATTAATAGTTTGGTCAACATCGAAAGAAACAACTATCCTAAACATAAGAAATCAACTTCTAAGAATTGCCACTAGTTAAGACATGTCATGACAACGTATGAGTTCAAACACGTTTGACTAGCTAATATGAAACATAGGTAGTAGTATTAGTGAAAAAAGCAGTAAGTCACGAGCTGCACTAGTCTCATCAACTTTAAGCTGATTTCTATGAGGGTGGGTGGATTGGTGAGACTCATGCTTTACTAGCAACACTATAATCAGTTTTCATGACAAATCATACTGAAAAACTTTACCTTTCTCCATTTATCAAATGAGTCAATTTAAACCTCATATTCTTCAAATCATCCTGTCAAAATATAATTAAACATTAATTAGTTTTCCTCAAATAAATCATTCCTAAAATATGCCTTTCAGTAAGTTGAAATGCCAAAACACTCCGCAACGTATCAAAATGATTGGAATGTGCAAAAATCACAATCTCTTCTAAGGCTTTGACAATCCAGATCACATCTTTTTTAATTTTAGTATTTTTTAAACAAGCACAGTACAGCTCACCCTGGCAACTGGTGTGCATTCTCATATGAAACAACCCTGAATCAATGTCTGCACCACAAGAAGTACCACAAAATATGTCTAGCAATTTTCATATGTATCACATTGAAATTATTTTACTAACTGGTTGATTGAAGATTTCCAGTTTTGGTTTCTCAAGATTTTTCATTGTTTCATTTTCATAATTCAACTCTTCTTTCAAAAATGCTAACAGTTGTTGATCCCCTACATTAAAGATTCAATGCAAATCGATGATAGGTTTTTTATGGGTTATGTCATTCCACATCTGCACAGCTAGTGCACATGGGCCATGGCAGATTTAGACTTTTCTAAGATAAGCAAATGCAAATGGTTTTGAAGGGTTCACTATTCTATTACCATCTCAACTATACTCTGTTACCATCAGAACTATACTTTAAACTTTACACCTCTTCAGAATTTGCAAATTTATCATTTCTGCTCGTTAGAAATTCGTCTGCAGGTGGAAAACAGCAACATGCCAAAATGTGTAATTTAATGATGTATTTTAGATGTTTTTGGACACTACTAAGTACTATGTTATGTCACAGTCTGAATAGATACCTTCTGAAATATGATTGTGCATTCCACAGCCACAAACTCTTGAAAACGAGAGCGATGTACTAGCAAGCAAACCAGCTCTATTCTGAAACGATGGAGCAGTATTCCCAACATATAAAATTGAACGTTTCACTGTCGAGATATTCTTTCGAAAAATACTACAAAAGTTTTTTCGTGGTATTAACCTATTAAATACTTTGAAACTTGCCATTGAAATAATATATTGCAGACAAATTGAAAAAAAAGAATTGGTTTTATGAAGAATACCATTCAAAATGGCGACCTTTTCGCCCCAGTCCACACAATTAGACACGGTATTAGGGTGGTGACAGTAATTAGTTACCATTACAAATACCATTATGGTGAAAACCATAGTGACTACAGGTTTCGAGCCCACCAAGTGTTTGTTTAAAAGCTTGAAAGGAAATTACTTTCCACAGCATTCCTGTTACCATGAGAAGACAGACCACACTGTATTTTCTACAGGACAGCTTTTGATCCTCTCTCCCCCAACCATAGTATTAGTGGAAAGAATGTGGAAATATAAAGTAAAAAACCTTGGTGAAAACATAATTACCTGATGAATTGGAGGATTACAAATCATACTTCAGCAGCACATTGCATACATTTTCCATGCCATAAAAACTGCTTATCTGCATAAGTACAATATATCTAAAGTATAAGAAAGCCATCTGAAGTAAAATATAGAAATGACAAGCATCCTCCAATGCCAGGGAACAAGGTTGTGACAATGTTTCATAGATGTTTAATGACACTTTTTTATAACATACAAACATTGTCTGATTTATTGTAGCAAGACCCTAATATACATTTATATTACAAGACATAGAGTCTACAACCAAATTTCAAGTTTTTAAGGGATGACAATGCAAAATGCTAACTAATAATAATTTACATTTCATTTGCACTCATTTTGGATCAATTCTGAAAGCTTGGCTAAACTCTGTACAGAAACATTAAAGAGATAAAAACTTAATTATAGTACAGCAAAATAGTTTACGAGTAATTATTTCTTTCCAGCTTTTGCTTTATTATTCTGTCCTCGTGGAGGTGTCACAGGCCTTCCTGTGTTTAAACCACCATATGGAAACTTCCTTTTGTCAGCTGGCTTGAGAATCTGTAGAAAAAATCAATTTAGCAAACCAGCAAATTATATTATCAATAATGTGCAATGATATAATTTGATATCTACCTGGAAAGAACACATTAATGTCTCATCAACACTCATCATTGCTCCAGCATTATCAAATTCACCGCAGTAATTGGGTGCTGAGAACAATGTAACTAACTGCCGTTTGGCAAAGAATTCATAACCATCCTCTACCACCTGAATCAAAATAATAGTTTAGTATATGATAATAAAATTGACAAACTGATAACCACTACCAAACTTAGGAATTAGTTTGAAATGAAAACTTATAAAATATGCTAATATCCATCAATATCAGTTTTTAAATCAAGCAAAGGTTTACCAAAATGTTTAGGTACCTGATGTGCTCGACATATGAGATCCAAGTCATGTTTTTGTAGGAATTTCGAGACAACATCTGGTCCAAATGTGAAGGAGACACCTCGATCATTTTCACCCCAGCCAGTGACTTCCTTGTCAGGATCTGACCAAAGCAAGTCACATAGCAAGCCTAATAAGGAAGTATTAAACTATTGTTCAACTAGAAGTTTAGTCATTACCATTAGTATCATGATATCATGAACATATGGATATTGTCCTTAAACCACAGTACTAAGACCTAATTGTCGTACTCTTACAAAAAGCATAAAGATAAATTACAGCCATAATTGAACCTGTCAAGATTAAGAATCTATATTGTGTCAAAGGCCGGCACAATATTACCTTGGTCAGGGACATCTGTAGGTCTCATAATTCTTCTGATTTGCTCCATAGACTGTAAATCAGGAGATAAACCTAAATAAAATTACAACATAGCTCTCACTTAGAAGAGCAATGGCTGAGCTGGAGTTGCATAATAGTTATATTCGGACTGGGGAGTTGGTTTGGAAATAATACAGAAATGAAACTACTTGGAGTGATTCTACAGTCCATCCTAGAAATGCATCAACCATTGTACAGGCAAATTAATCAGTGAGAAATACAGCAGGTGAACATTTTGTATGCCCTCAAAGAGCATATTACATTTCACAGTAAATATTTACAATATATTAATCATAGGTTTTGCCTCACTTGACCTTGATAAAAGACAGTTTTTGCGGTCGGACAAATAGATATATAGGATAAAATGATATGTATTATACGACTACAACCCTCCATAGTCATATTTCTGTTCTACGACTGGAGATAATTGCGACATATCCAACAGATATGTACAGACACAATTTGAGCTATTTTCTTGATTTCATAAAATTTCACAATCAATTATTAATAATTTGCTGGGTACCTCCGTGACAACAAAATATTTTTTCGTCGATAATGGCAGAAATCGGCAAACAGTTGAAGCAATCTGTAAAAGTCTTCCACAGTTTCACGTTATACCGTCTTTTGCCTAGAAATAGTTAGAATATTTAGTAACAAAAGCTTTGAGACTGCAATTAATAAACAAACAATGACACAAAATAATTTCAAAACGACAAAACGTATTACATTCGTCATAAAATCCATAAATTCGATTGATGCTTGCACATTCGTGATTCCCTCTTAATAAGAAGAAGTTCTCTGGGTATTTTATTTTATACGCCAGTAATAAACATATCGTTTCCAGTGATTGTTTTCCTCTGTCTACATAGTCACCAAGAAATAAATAATTCGCTTCGGGAGCAAAGCCACCGTATTCAAACAGACGAAGTAAATCATAATATTGTCCGTGGATATCACCTAGAAAAGGGAAATATGTATTCATTGATGTTTGAAAGAAATAAAATACCCACAAAAAATATTTTTCAAATACCGCATATTTTCAAAGGTGCTTCAAGTTCTAACAGAATCGGTTGACTAAGAAATATTTCCCTTGATTTTAAACACAGTCCACGTATTTCAGCTTCTGTAAGTTGGACATTTTTCCCTGGTCTAGATCCACGTACTAGATAAAATACAACATATATGGCGCAAATAGAATCTGTCAACGGGGTTCTAATTTCATAAAATATTTCGTACCTTCCAAGAGTCGGCTTATTACACTGTCAATGTTAAGTTTGTCACTCTCTGCCATGCGAATATATAGAAATACGCTATTGTTCTTCAAATAAACGGAACTTTTGGATTGTCGAGTGAAAACGTTTTAGAGGATTGATATGGATTGTAAATCAAACCTCTTTCTCAATTGTATTTCTACAGCCGCTGTGACCTTGAAGATTCAGTATTCTTGTTTCTTTTGCATTCGTTGGTGTTTCCACACAACGAGAGTTCCAATTTTCTCAACAAAGGTAATTTCCTTACAGTGATTTCCTCATTGCTTCCGAACCTGGGTGCAATACGACGAAATTTTGATTTTCACTCACAGCATTCTGCTTTTTCTTTCCCATTTACACCTAAATAGAACATGTACTCAAATCGTATTTTTACAGTAAATCTGAAGTTGGTCCAAAAAAACTTGATCGCATATGATCGTGACGTCACTATTGGACGTCACACCAGCAATGGCTAATGTTGAGTGAAAAATCTCTTTTTTTAATCCTATTACGGCTATATCCGGCGTGGGCGGCCAGGATTATCTGCTGTATTCCAAGAGATTTAGTATAAAACCATATAAATGAACAAATTTTTACTTCAAGTAATATACTTTTCATATACTACAATAATCTTACAATAAGTTTGCGCAAACAGGCGATAATTCAGGCAGAAAGATGTGTTCTTTCATAAAACAACATATAAGCAGTTGATTTTAAGACGTGAGACAATGGTACACATCTTGTAATCTCGTCTGAGACAAGATGCCAGCAAGTGTTGGACTTCCTGTATGTTATGTAATGGCCTCTTCCTACAGCCTCGCCAAGATGAACGATGACTGCCACCAGACTGTAAATTGTGTTCCCTGCCAATCTAATGTAGAAGAAAGATTGCGATGGAAAGCATTAGTTAACAAAGAGAATTTTGGCAATCGCTAAAACGCGTTTGCTTGCTTCATGCGACTGGACGACAAAGGTGACATGCAGGTTGCCCCACAGCTTCTGGTTTCACCAACCTGTTTTGAGTTGTTACGCCCTCCTTTGACAGGCGACCATCTTGATCGGACCAGAGACCAACAATTCCTGGAATTTCTGTAGCGCATCTCATATGTTTGTAGAGATATTGCTCAATATTGAGGGTTTCAGAGAACTGTACAAAAGTATCGTTTTTGTAAGGAACGCCATTATTTTGCCAATATGTACGATTGATGTGAAAACAAAGACACTGGGGCATCTGAAAATAAAATCAGAAAAATAAACCCTTTTCATAATTATGTCACGAATACGTTTTTGGTCTGGGAGCGTTGTACTCAATAGGGAAATACGCAAAGCAACGGGTGCATAATCTACGTAAGATAACCAAGCAAGTTTTACAGGGTAACACAAAATAAAAGTTACTTTTACGTTTGGAGAATTAGAAGAAGTTAGAGTGCTGATCTCATACATTCTTTAAAACAGAATCACATAAATTCTAGTGAAGTTTTCCTTCAAAATAGCAGTGAAGCGATGATAGAAAATTCATTGAGATTTCATTAAGATGTTGGTCATCAAAGAGACCTCCACTGACACATCCAAGATTAGCAGAACCTTATCTGAAACAATCTATCACATCAAACCTTTCCAATGTATAATTTCTTTAACAATCTGGTTTTCTCATTTGCACCATTACCAGCACCACAAGCTGAACATTCAGAAGATTCAAGCATTTCTGTACACATAAAGTTTCTGATTAGCCCTTCAAGTGTACAATTGGCAAACTATACAAAAATGAACAGAAATGTTAGTAATTACATACTTTGTGTACAATAAAAAAAACTTTTCAAATCCATTATAAAACTTTAAACTTGTTTGATTCAAATGCTTACCAGGAAATTTGATGATAAACTGAGAGACACAGTATCAAACACTTCAAATTTGACTGGATACTATATACAAAATTAATCATTGTGGGTGGTGAGCTTTCACAATCAAGTAAGTATGTGTCTGAATGTATATAAAACATCAACACAATATATATAATAAGAAATATTATTTCTAATATTGCTGAGACCTTATTTAAACATTTTTTACAAGACAGCTGGTTTGCAAACAGTCCAGCAAATGGTGACCAAGATTTTCTCTGAACTTTTGATGCTTTAATAAATATAAAAGTAAATATAGTTTGAGGGAGATTTATGGAAACAAATACACTGCATAGAGATTGGTATTTGTATGAAAAATGAGTTTTGAGACAGACAAACCTTTCACTCCACTGCGAAGAACAATACTCTCATCATCTATGGCCAAGCCATCCTTTAATAAAGAATTAAGTCAAAGGAATTAAGTCAAAGAAAGTGAATATAAAAAATATTTGAAAGAAATAAGAGTATAAGCACCGGATACCTGATTTAAGAGTACTGAATTCAAAGTTCTCTGCAATGCCTAAATAAAGAAAATAATTAAGAGTTAAATAAGGGTAAATAAACTAATTTAGGGTACTTTTAGTTCACCTACATATTCTTCTTCATGTGCAAGAGTTGATGTTAGAACTTGAAACATTTCATGAGCATCCTAAAAAAATATACAGCTGACAATCAAAAGAGAAGTTATTGAGTCTATTTTAAAGATTAAATTGTTGAAGAAAAATTTATAAATAGATCACCATATGACGAATGAAAATTAACCTGTTGTTCATGTGAAATAACCCAGCCATGAGAGTACAAACTTGTGAATATTGAAGTGGGATCGTATGATTCTTGCTCATGACATGGTTGACTTAGAACTAAAAAAATATGTTCACAGCATATTCATAAATATTGGGTACTAGAAAAGGTGATATAAGAAAAACATAACTTACTTAGCATAAACTTAGAAAGCTCAGATGTTAATTTTCCAAGCTTCTGTGAACTCTTTTCATTGCAAGTCTCAATCCAGGACACAAAAAGAGACACAGATGCCATTGCCTATGAAATATAACAATATACAAGAAAATGGATTGAGAAAAAATATTTATGAGTTTATATATGCATTTTATACCTGCAAAACAGAGTTAAGATAGCATGTGTTTCCAAGGTTTACAAGACCAGGAACACCTAAATATGTACAAAAAGAGTAAATTAACCCTTCATAATGGCATAAAGTTTGTTGTTATAGAAAGTTTGATTGGCTTAACTTGTCTATTTTCTTTCCACTGTCTCTAGGAAATTTACTACAACACCTGATGATTCAGTCTGGCTGTCTTTAGTTTTCTTTCCTCCCTGCAATATATATGCTATTCCAGCCAGTACAGCACATCCTCCAAGTGCTACAACAATCTTTCCATCCATTCTTCTCCAGTAACCCAGAAAATAATGTTTAAAGTTCTTAACCTCCAGCTGTGGTAATGACTTCTTCTTTAATTGGACGTGGCAGGTCCTGGGTACCATTCTGAGGAATCGGGGGGAGCCGGGGATCGCGGGCTCTGGTTTCGAGATTGACTATTTTTGCAATAGGCCCGTTTGCCCGGTCTTTTCAATCGAAGTAAGTGTCCTAGACATTTTCCATTTTCACCACTCAAAACATCGATGCTGGGACATTTGTCAAGTCGATTGTGCTATTTCTAGCAAATTTATTAACAAGTTTTAAAGCAATCTAAATAGAATTACTAGTGGGTGCATCTTTTATCCCCCTTCCACCTGTGAGTAAAAGGACAGAAAGCAGTTGCTCCTGCATTTTAACACAATAAGGCAGTGTTCTGGGATTTTAACCCAGAGGCCAAACATAACAGCACTGTTTAATGAAAAAATAGAATTCACTATAGATCTTTGTTTGGCCCCAGACATGGACACTGTTTTTTGCCAAACATGAAATGGAGGGAAACCGGAGTGCCCGGAGAAAAACCCTCCTGACCACAACATGAAATCCGGATCTCAGGTTACTGGTCTGGTCCGACATTTTGGTATTTTTAGTTGGAAATTCCGCAATAATTAATTGGGGCAGGTTTGCCAGTTATTTTTGTACTTGTATTTTTTCAATTTTTAGAGATAATCTGGCAACCATGTGGACTATTTTTCACGGCATTACATTATACATTATCAATGTTTTTCATCTGACCAATCTTTAAAAATTGCCACGCAATTTTTAAGGGTTCTTCAAAGTTCAAATGATCCTGGTGGTCTGAAACATGCACAAACATGCACTTAGGCAATGGCATCAAAAAAATACCTATGGGGTAATGGGGATTTTGATGAGGCTTTTAGTAATTCAATATAACATTATTAAAATCTATATCATCATAAATCCGTCGTTATAATCGACGACTATCGTTATTTAACCTGGTCAAATCGATATTCCTATTAATCTATTGAGATCAGTTGCAATAGCGTTGTTCAGTTACTACATAACTACATAGAGATCAGTTGCAGAAATATAAGCATGTCATCCAGTGGCTTTATAGAGATCAGTGGCAAAAAAATCGAGCGCGCGTAACCCTCACTATTCAAATGAATTAGCTGTTAGAGATCAGTTGCAAAGACTTGACAAACATAATAATACTACATAGAGATCAGTACAATTGTAGACGAAGTCAAATTACTCTCTATTGTGTCGATTATTTTGCAAGCAACATTTCATATACAAGTAATCAAAAAAACACTAGAGACAACTCCTTTCAAAAACCAGAACAAATTTCTTGAAGTTCCAGAAATCCATTTTAGAAGAATTACGGTGATACTTCAACATAATAATATATAATAATAAATAATAATAGATCATTATTCCATTCACATTTATTCTAATTAACCTTCACGCCTAATAAACTTTATTCTATTCAAGATTCGAATTTATTCTAACCATCAAAATATCATCAATTTCTTTTTCTATATGCTATTTTCATGCTTTCCCACGAACTTTGAAAATAAAAACTGATAAATAAAAATTTATTAAATTTATTAAAGTTCCAAGTTTCAATGTACACTCTGATAGATTAGAAGTAAAAAATCCTTATAGAGCATAGCTAAACTAAACTATTACTATTCACTATCCTATGAAAACTAAACTAATCTGCTGTCTATACCGGCCGGTAATATTTAACTAAACTTGCTAACTATTTGGGAACTATTTTTACTTGATAAATAAAAATAAATAAAAAATTATTATAATATATTGCATTTATAATTTACTCAACTGGTTTTGCAAGAACTAAAATGTCAATTTCCCTAATTAGACGAATGTATTTTATGTTGTGTCATGCATAAACAAAATATTTTTCAGCTAATTTTTGATCTTATACATGTTATGCAATTATTTTTACCATCACATGCACTTAGAAAGTCAATTACCCTAATTGGAGCAATGTATTTTATTTTGTGGCATGCATAAACAAAATTTTTTACAGCTAATTTTTGCTCTTATACATGTAAGAATTAACTGTAGGGTCGTAAATAATCATGCTATTACTCTGGCAATTATTTTTACTGTTACATGCACCTAGAAAGTCAATTTCCCTAATTAGAGCAATGTGTTCTATGTTGTAGCATGCATAAACAAAATATTTTTACACCTAATTGTTGATCTTATACATGTAAGAATACGGTCGTCTATAATCATGCTATTATAAATTACTCTAGCAAATATTTTTACCGTCACATGCACTTAGAAAGCCAATTACCCTAATTAGAACAATGTAATTTATGTTAAATTGTGGCATGCATAACCGAAATATTTCACATTCAATTTTGGATCTGATACCTGTTAAAATACATCAACCACCTATAATTCATGCTATTATTTTGGCTATTTTCATTTGCACATGCACTTACATAAATCAATCTTGTGGCGCATTACTAGCTGTAATATTTTTGATGCCAATGCCTTATGTGCCAACAAACAAATACAATCATATGCATACCTGGTTCTTGTTCACAGTTACCTTTGTAAGAATTCCATTCTTCAAGTTGAGTTCATGATTCATCATTTTTAGCCGCACCATTGGATACTTCAGTAATATCATGCATTAATTTCACCAATTGCATTACACATTAAGTGATAAAACAGGAACATGCATTTTCAAAGAATCAAACATGCTGTATACATTAATTTAATTGTTCTGCATGCAATCCGGAATTTTTATTTGTCATCAATATCAAAATTGGAAATAGTAATTTCACTTAATGTATTACACATTCAGTGCAAACCACCAGGAAAACAAGCATGCACAGGATAGAATGCAAGAAAACTGAATAATACCACCCATCAAACTAGTCTTCAGTCCATCATCTTCTGTCATCGGGCAGTCCATCATCATCTGTCATCGTCTGCTGATCAGGTGGTCCATCATCATCTGTCATCGTCTGCTGATCATCATCATCAGGTGGTCCATCATCATCTGTCATCATCGGCTGGTCCATCATCATCTGTCATCGTCGGTTGTCCATCATCTGAAATTATTCATTTCTTAACATCTGAAATGATATGAAACAAGCTCACCTATGGTATGTTACCTGCATGAGCTCCACCAACATCATCTTCACCACGACGCTCATTGTACATGCGAATACAAAATTTTCATGCATTTTCGAAATTACATGCAAATTTAGCAAGATTTAACGCATGCATTCATTCAAAAATGGGATAGACATTTAACACTCGACCATTATACCTCCCCCTTTTTAATCTCAACATGCATCTCTTTTTTGTGTGCTCCAAGAGCAATATTTTGCCTATGCCGGACTAGGTCAGTCGAGCATACAGAAAGTATAAATGACCCGGGCCCCTGATCAATTATACTTACTCATTACTCCTGACAAAACATGCAAGATATAACCAAGGGTTGGGATCTGAACTGCATGCAATCCAAAAATTGAAAATTAAAAACAGAGGAGCCTCAAATGTCTGGAAATATCATAAAATGTTTGGTTTGATTTTGATTTCATAAAATGTCTGGTTTGAATTTAATTTTAGATTTTGTATTTGCATGCAAAATGGTAACATTTCTCCATCATCACAACTAAAATGAATAAATGAAAGAGTGATAATAAGTACAGTATAAGCACAATAGCTATGTACCTATCAATCCATACTTCTGATGGTAGTATATGTTTGTACAGGATTATTTAGGGTGTTCCAATAAATACTTCCAGTTTCAAGTAGGAATACTACAATAGGTGTTTCTATGTTGGTTTATTGTATTCGTTTCAAATCAGAAAATAGATTTGGTATACCACTCAAAACACAAAGTAGAAAAAATGTAAGTTTTCAGAAATACAAATCAGTCTAAACATAACATCAGGTTTTTCACATAAAATAGAAAGAATATTCCGCAATGCAAAATTAAGGACATTTCAAAGGTGCGTTGAGGAAACACTGGTGATGTGATTGGTTTGCAAAAAAATTTGTCGCGAAAAAGTAGAATCGTTTCTTACGTCAGTGTCTGGGTGAAAAACGATTTATAGGCAACTGTCATTTGGCCTTGTTAATAAGCCCCCTTTTGATTAGGCACATGTCATTTGGGTTTTTTAAACGCCCATTTTTCACCTTTTTGACACACCAAGCAAATTTTAGTTAAATATTGTTAATCTTTTGACACACCAAGCAAATTTTAGTTAAATATTGTTAATCTAATTTGCCTTTACTGAACACCGGAAAATGGCACAAAGGTCAAAGCACATGCATGCAAAATCACATTTTTACGGGATCAAATAGCAGAATGATTATGAATGCTTTTAAATCAAACGCATTTATTTATATAAACATGCATAATACATTAACTTCTTATTGCAGTGATATCAGTTGCAAACGTCTATTATTTATCGTATAGCTATAAATGCCTCGTGCTCAAGACCTTCATTTGAAAAAAGACGGCGAGCGGCGAGATCTAAACACTAGCTAAGAAGCCCCTCATGGCGGCCCCAATACACCAAAAAATACTTGATTCTTCTTCAAATTGATACGAATACTCAGACAGAACTACTTTATCTTTGCTTACAATATAAGAAAGCTTGAAAAACTAAACAATATGCTGTAAAAGACTAAAAGTTAAACGGTGGCGACTCAAGTCTACAACAGTTTAAAAAAGACCACCATGCAGCACCGGCGTCGCAAAAACACGCACAAGTAAATTCGCTAAAAACGCTCAAAATTTGGACCTAATTCTTCTGCAAATTTATACGAATACTCAGACAGAACTACTTTATCTTTGCTTACAATATAAGAAAGCTTTAAAACAAAACAATATGATCTAAAAGTTGAACGGCGGCGACTACAAAGTTGAAAAACACTGGCGTTGCAAACACGCGGAAACTCGCTAGAAACGCTGAAAATTTGGACCTAACTCTTCTGCAAAAGTTCATACGAATATTCAGACAGAACTACTTTATCTTTGCTTACAATATAAGAAAGCTTTAAAACTAAACAATATGATCTAAAAGTTGAACGGCGGTGACTACAAAGTTGAAAAACACCGGCGTTGCAAACACGCACGGAAACACGCACGGAAACTCGCTAGAAACCGGCTGAAAATTTGGACCTAATTCTTCTGTGGGTTGATACGAATACTCCGGCAGAACTACTTTATCTTTCCTTACAATATAAGAAAGCTTAAAAACTAACTAAAAGTTAAAACTACAACAGTTTAAAAAAGCCGACAGCGCGGCGTTGCAAAAACACACACATACATGGTCATGGATATTCGCAAGAAAAGCTGAAAATTTGCAAATTTCGAGTTATTAGAATTATTCATGTCTTTAGAAATCTATAGTTTTCACAGTCAGTGAACATAAAAATATTAGCATAGCGGAACAAATCGACAGGCTGGCTACGCTACTGCCGGTCTAAAAGTCAAACGGCGGCGACTACAACAGTTGAAAAGGACACCGGCGTCGCAACATGAAAACTCGATAGAAAAAATGAAAATTTAGACCTAATTCTTCTGCAAATTTGTAGAAATCGTTACGAATACTATGCTGAAGCTATTCTAGCTTTGCTTACAACTAAGGAAACTTAAAAAATCAAAACAATATGCTCTAAACGGCGGCGCTTAGTGTGAAAACACGTGCAAGTGGAACGCACAATACGCTCAAAAATTTGACTTATAATTGACGTTTATTGACTTAATAATTGACACTTATTGGTACGAATACTGAAGGCAGAACAATTCTAGCTTTGCTGATAAACGTTTTAGTTCAATAACTAACAGATAAGACACAATAATACATACTGTATAACTCACGAACATTGAATCCAACTTTCGTCGACGGATTTCGGCCTAAAATGAAATAGACAAAAAAGTGTTTAATAACAATTTAAGTATTTAAAACAGTGTTTGAATAATATCTTCGTTCTTTTTATGCAGAGAATTCAGAGATATACACACCTGGTTTCTTTTTCTTCCAACGAAGAGCGAATTTCCTTGCCACCGCATCGTCCACATGGTCTTGAAAACTGACTGTCAATCACTCAATCTGTCAAAAACTGTCACATGACCGAAACTGCAGCTTGTGATTGGCTAATTTGGTCACACGTCATTCCCTGCCCACAATGCAATAGACAACTGACCCGTATTTATTATGGACCAGTGATTTCAATTCTTTATCTGGACTATAACCGGTTTTTGAGTGCCATAGTGTCTCATATCTTTATTTCACGGTTTTGTAGTGTTTGCAACTTAAAACAGAACAAATATAAGGAAATGCTTGACAAATTTTGCAAAAACTGGTGCTCAGATGGATCTGAAATAGTCTCACTGCCCCAATGACTGACCCCCCCCCCACTGGCCCCTGCCCAAATTTAATTTATAGATCAGTGAGGCCCGACGACCTTAATATACACTGGACAGCTGGGTAATTATTTACGTTACGTAATGTTTATTACGTAGGTAGTGAAAAATAATATAAATTTAAACTAAAACTTTATCAAACATAATATTTGAGATAATTTAAAACACAACAGACTAAGAAAACGACTTATTTATACTTTGAAGAGCATGAATAATATGTTCTTTTCAGTTCATGATCAATGGAGCAACTCCTCCAGTAGTTATTATATAGCTCAGTGGGAATATCCCATTTCCAAGATGGCGGACGTGGTTGAAGAAAAAAATAGCAAAAAAATTAAAAAAGACGTTTATATACCACAATCAGCTCAAGATGTACAACGAATGAAAATAGAAAAACTTATGAGCAATCCAGTAGGTCTTTCATTTCATACTTTACATGACATATTCGCAGAAAATCCTTTATAATAATCATTTTTATTTCTGTTCAGGACAAACCTGCTTATATCCCAGTTCCAAAGAAAGAATGGAAACCGTCGGACCCGAAAGATTTTGTTAGATTTGTTATGGGTGAGTTTATCTGATCTCATATTTCAGTAGTTTCACTGAGGATGCGACATGAAAATTTAATCTAATAATTCTAATAGACTAAATTATTTCCAGGATCAAGTGCAGGAGCAGGTAGTGGAGAGTTTCATGTTTACAGAGCAACAAGAAGACGAGAAAACAACAGACTAAAATATATTGATGACAAGGCCAAAAAGGTTGTCAAGATAAGTCGCTGTCACAAGGCATTGCCATTAGTTTGCTTTCATCTCCAAAACTAAATTGGCCCAACAAAAATGTACTAAAACCTACCACAAAATCTAGTGAATAATCCAACAACAAACTAATCAAATCTAACCTGCTCAGTGGCAAACAAAGCAATCAAATTATGACCAGCAAATATCATTTCATGCATTTAAGGAAGATGCAGATTCTGAATACCAGAGAAAACAAGAAGAAAATGAAGCAAAAGCTGAGGAAAGAACAGCAAAGAAAAGAACAAAGAGGTTTTTATGGAGCTCAAGCTGTCAGTTTTCACTGTTCATTCCCTGCAATGATTGTAATAATTCAATTTCAGGCAAAAAAAGAAACAAAAGAAACAAACTCTTAAGAAAAGTAAACCAGAAAATGGTAGGATATGGAAACACTTTTCCTTTCCTTTTTGTAATTTCTTCAATTAAATCTCTTCAACTTTATTTCTCAGACAACAAACCAACAGAAGAAAATGAAGAAAATGCAGCTAACAATTCAGAGAATGACTCCAGCACGGACGAAAAGACGTAGAGAGTTGGAAAACTGCAAATTTGCAATATACAGACTAGTTTACTCGTAATGATATAATAATCCCCATCAAACATCTAGATCACAAAGATCTATGTTTCTTTTTTCTAGGTCTGAGTCTCTCAGTACCTGGTAAATATTTTTATTATAACAGTGACAGCTTGTAAATGATGGGTGTGAAATATGCTGTAAATATGTCTCTTTATTTTGAAGAGCTGAAGACAGTTCTTTGAGAAATTTGTCTGCTAGGTGCTATAAGTTAGAACATGTTTCCTGGATGTTTGCAGGAGATGACTATTTATGTAAAAATAAATTGGGTATATCTTACTAATTATATCTTATATAACGTGTATTGGTCTACAGGTCTTCACAATATCCGTCTAATACTATCTGCTGGTAAAATATTGCCTGCCTTATTGGAAAAATATTACATCTAAAAGTTATTTCGATGCGTGCAAGCTATGTCGTTAATTAAACCCTCTAAATGCGAGGAATCATATTTCGTCAATGTCAGCTGTTACCTGATCTTATCTAAAACTTGCTAAAACGCATTTTTGAAACTGTATAGACGACAATCGTATTGATACTTCATACATTAGGTTTATACATCGCCTAAGGAAGGCCTAGAAGAACAGATTAGGATAACATTTTAATAATCACTGGGAATATCTTCACAAAAGCAGACAATTACTGGTGTAGAAGAGTCACAAAAACTAAAGCGGTCAAATTCCAGAGGTATGTACTCATACAGTCATATTAAATAGATTTCAATAAACATTTATTTATTAGCTGCGATGACTGCTCACCGTCAAAACGCAAACATTAACTGGCATGGACGCATGGTGTTTCAATCAACGCGAGAATCGAATGGGGAAAGTCCAGGAAGTCAACGCCGCTATTGACATTCGCAGACTGTGCTTATTTCTGTGTTATATCGCTTGCCGTCTGAAGTCTTCATGGAGTAAAATCAACATCAATTGCTATTAGTGCTGCTGTTCTAATATTAAAATTGAGCACTACTGTGGTGCATATAAATTGCGCTTTCCTCTTCCGCAGCCTTCCAATTTACCAGCTTATTCAAACGCGTGCAACCTGACGGAACCTGACGCTTCTTCCCAAATGGTTTGTCAATAAAAAGGACTGCAAAGTGCACAAAATGGGATAATTTTCAGCACTTCTTATTTGCAAATTAATGTGTTTATCACAAGTCTTGGAAACTTCATCTTCAGGGCGAAGAAAAACTTTCACCAGATAGATATAACAAACCTGCAGAGAAACAAATAAGCCTAGAGCTGTTGCATCTTCAGTAAATATTAACTAAAAGATTGTCCTGTTTGCTATAGCTTATAAGGAAACATTCTTGAAGGAAATATGTGTCAACGTGCAATTACAAAAATAAACAAACTCTGCGTGAAAAATTTTAGGAAGCATGTATTGTTTCCAAGATAAATATTACAACCAAATGAGATTTCGTTCCTACGTCGTATATAACAATGTGAAAATTAATATAATTGTTTTGCAATATGTTTCTAATGGCAATCCTGTTGATTTTTACAAGATGAACGCTGTTATAACGAAAAGACAGAAAAACACCATTTTGGTTCTGGGAGCAATTACAGCTGTGTTTGGTGCCTTGTCTGGGGCCAGTGGTCTCCTCTTAAGAGAAAAATACTTGGTGTTTAACAGACCAGACTGGGATGTTGATACAATATCTGGGTTCACTAAAGGATATTTTGGGGTGATGTCAGGATTTATAGTAAGTTTAGTAGGACAATGTATATTAGTAGTGTTGTCTCTTACCAATGAATCCTTTGTGTAAGTTAATAACACAATATATTTATTCATTTCAGCTGTTTTTACTTGGTACTGTTGGTTATGGTCTCGTCTTTACCAGGATGTCTTATCTGGTAAGTATTTTTTATATTCGGGAGAACATCATCTCATAATAAAATAATCAAGTGTATTACCTGTTTCCAGGTATTTCTTTATTGGCTGTTGTCCTTGTGTTGTGACACGTTGTGTATCATCGATACTTTGCTGGTTTTTCCCTTCACAAGAGAAAATGGAAAGTTTGCTTGGGAACGCAATTCCAGTGATAATTGCACGCTACAACTTCTATATTCTGGAAACTCAACAACGATATCATCTAATACAAATTTTAGAACAGAAGACCTCGGTAGATTAATAAATTGTTTCTAAAGGATACCTTTTTACTGACTAGATTTTGAGTAATTGAATCGTAGTTAAATTTCAGTAGATTCCACAATTCTTCCATTAACTATAGTTAAAAGTAAACTACGTTTTTATACAACGGCCTCTGATCACAGAGTGATCACTGCATGGTACATTTTGCGTGTAAAACTACAGGTGTTAACACTAACAGGGATTTTGAAGTTTATTTCTGTACTTTCTAGAATATTGCGAGGATATAAAAGTTATTGCTGTTTTATTAATCATCATCACCACCGCGATACTGACTTCATTATTATTTTCGTGCATAACAACAATTGTTACCAGTGTTGCTCTTTACAGAGCGAAAGGCTTCGCGGTAAGTTAGCCATTTTAGCCGCGTATTTTACCCAAATTACAAGAACATTACACAATGAAAAGTTTGCTTTGTTAAACAGTAAACTTACCTAAACCTTATCCTTGACCATCCTTGACCAAGACACAACACTTTCGTCGTCTTTTATGTAGGATGCTGAAGATTCCCGGATCCAGATGGCTCCTTTTTCAGTACCAGATGACTTTCAACCAATGAGCTTTAATAACACAGTATACCAAGGCGATGGTTACCGAAAATAGCAAATTACAGAAGAAAAAACTAAAAACGTACAAGAACAATAACTGAAGGGAAATTAAACCTCACATATTTACATAGAATAAGAGATGAATGGTTTATCGTAGATTCGAGAAACATGGTATATATGATCTTGGTAACTGTAAGGTCCAATATACTGGAATATGGTATATACGACTTTAGTAAGGTACAATATACTGGAATATGGTATATACGACTTTAGTAAGGTACAATATACTGGAATATGGTATATACGACCTTGGTAAGGTCCAATATACTTGAATATGGTATATACGACATTGGTATGGTTGAAAATACTGTGATATGTTATACTATGTTTTATTTGACCCTACCAAGGAAGGATATGGGGTATAGTGTTCTCGACATTAGTAAGATCTAATATATCGAAATATGGACCTTCTCGCAGTATCGTTCAAAACAGCGCATAACGCTGTAATACCAGTAACACTGTAATATTGTATGATTGCTGACATTTTTGTCGCCGTCGTCGGATTATACGCCAATCATGGAAAATACGTTTAAAACATTCCGAAAATGTATCAAATTACTGTGATTAAAATTCTCACGGTTGAAGTTGCTTAATTTTGCTGATATTATCAAACAATTTATTTCGTCGAAAGGCGAAAAAACTTGTAAAAATGCAGTCTACACTAGGGACTTATACTAGTAATAGAAGTAAGTAAATAAATAATATCAATATGTCATTTTATTGAATAATTGCGATGGATTTTCATTCTTTGTTTTGATTCGTTCGTGATATTATGTCCGTTAAAAAAGACGCTTCTATTTAAAATAATATTTTAAATCTATTCGATAAATAGCATCGAAAAACATTTCTATTAACGTTCAGAAATATAAAGTAGTCTTTTCACGAGGTAAATGAACGTGTCGAAGAGTATATTCCCACCATAGGATTCCCACAGGTTACAAATCGATCTGTCAGAAGTTTAGACAGACACTAAGTTTAAATGATTAACACCATATCCTATGCAAATTATTATTTCATTTCAATGAACTTCGTTTCGTGTCCCAGGTTTAGGGCCACTTGGTAAAGTTAAAGTATCTAAACCCATCTCAAGAGGGGCAGCAATAATTGGTTTATTAGAATTCTTGCTTGGAATAGCCCTCTTAATTGGAGGCATTTTACTACATATCAAAGATGTGAATGAAGATTTAGATGTGTCTGGTGATCCTAAATATTATGGCCTTTGGTCAGCACCAGGTGTAAGTTAATTTTTGTTTAATTATTAAAATATCAGTTATTAGTACTTTAAAAAACTAAGGATGGAACTTCTTTTTAGCCTTTAATTATTGGTGTCCTAGGAATTGTTGGATGGTGGAAACGACAACGACAAATGGTAGGTTTTTGTTACATGATCATTAGACCCGTGGCAGTGAGTGTGTATGAACTATTCACTGTTATTTTGTAGATTGTGACATTTTCAGTGATGAGTGCACTAAATGCACTCTTGTGTATTGCACAAGCATGTGTTTGTTTTACCACGAGCATTTTGGTTCAAAGATTTTGTTACATTGTCAAAATGTCGTGATGATAAACCAGATGGCCATGGCTTGGAATATGACCCGAAAGGGGAAGGTAATATGTTATATTTTCTCTTGTTAAACCACTAGGATATCCCAGATAATTCTCTACCACAGCAAGCATGCAAGTAAAGCAAGCGGCTCAAAACTTACCCAAATTTTCAATCCATTATCTGCTTCAGCTTCAGACAAACGAGATTGTGATGAAATGAACATTATTGCCAGATTATTTATCATGCTTGCTATCTCGTGTTGCTTTGCTATTGTAATATCACTAGCTGGAATAATTGACGGAATCTTAGCTGTAAAACAAATTAAGAGAGATCAGGTTAGTGATGTCAGTTTTAACGAATAGTGTTCACAATGATTACATAAGAAATGAAAACATACCCTTTTAATAAACTTTCATTTTCTACTAGATGGACCAACTTGAAGGTCTGACAAATGCAGAATTTAGACAAATGGAACAAAAAACAGCAATGTGGTTAGAAAATAATGTGAGATTTTCGACTGGATCTACAATAGCTCGCTCGGAGAAGGCTCTTAGTGTTGTCAGTGAAAGTGGTTTCTCGTCAACAGGACCTCAATCCCCAAGCACACCCACCACACCTGGTTATAGGGACAAAAGTTGGGTATAAAAACAATAGTAAACTTTCAAATATAACCCATAAAATATGTTCCGATATAACAGCACATGATGAGGTATTCTAACATGACCAGATATCCTAACATGACCAGATATCCTAACAATAATTAAAAGCCTAAAAGATTAGAGGATATTTAAAGGTTGTAAGATCAGACAAACACTTCATAAACTGGAGTAGGAATGGAATATTTCCTTGGTGTATATTTTATTGTTTACAGTTACTATTATCAATAGAGACAATAGTGAGATATAATATGAATTAAAGGGATTTTTATAGGGACTTTTCTATGTTAATTGATATAGGCAGTGAACGCTGAAACATTGTACATTATGATACACATTTATATTGCATAGCTTTATATAAAAGCCATTAAACTATATGTCTAAAATGTCCTTCTTACAATATTTTGGGGTTTAAAACTTGTTTAAGCATTAGGCTTTAAATGAAGGTCTTGCTAATCCATACCAAATTACAATTTCAACTGGTAGAACTTTGCAGACGTTTGTAGCAGCTTTGTATCCTTGTCCGTAGTCTTTCATCGCTGTCACAGAGGCGGTATGCTGCTGAAAAATGTTTTAAAGCAGCTCTAAATTCCTCTGACTTCTCACAGCGTCTGTAGAACAAATTTTAAGGGTTATTTTATTGATCTGTCTGCAACAAAGGTTGTCTGTCTATAACAGAGAAGTCAGTCCATACCTTCCTGAGTTTACATGCATTTTGTAGGCCTCTATTTCAGTTGGTGACATTACACATTGGCATTTCTTTATGTTGAATGATTCTGACACATGAATACCTTCTGGACAGCATGTAGTGTACGTTTTCAAAATGACTAGAAAAAAAAAGCAGGAAGTCATCTTAATAAAACATCTACATAATTTCTTTTATATGACCAGACAATTGTTAACCTTCTGGTTCTCCAGGTTTATCCAAACTTTCATCTTTAATCGCATTTGTTGAAGCTTTTGCGTTTCTTGAAGAGGGGCTTTGTTGAAAATTTTTGGAATTTTCGTCTTCATTCGACGAACTTTCATCATTTCCAGAATCATTTTCATCGTCGCTGTGCCTTCCTTCATCGTTCTCGGAACTATATTGCGACACTGACTCATCAAGATCTTCCTCCTCTGTAAAAAACAAGAATCAATTCGTTATCCGGCGTTCTTATCCTTGTTCTCAGATTGATATCAACAGCGATTATCACAAACATAACTTCTTCTATGAACGTTCAATATTTACCTCCTGGTTTTTCAGAATTAACACAACTTTCATCTGTGGAATTCGTAGAATCAATCGTATTCCTTTGAGGTGGGCTTCGTTTTGAATTTTCGCCTATATTCGACGAACTTTCATCATTTCCAGAGTCATTTTCAACGTCTCTGTGACTTCCTTCATCGTTCTCGGAACTATATTGCGACACTGACTCATCAAGATCTTCCTCCTCTGTAAAAAACAAGAATGAATTCGTTATCCGGCGCGTTCTTATCCTTGTTCTCAGATTGATATCAACAGCGATGATCACAAACATAACTTAATTCTTCTGTGAACGGTCAATATTTACCTCCTGGTTTTTCAGAATTAACACAACTTTCATCTGTTGAATTCGTAGAATCAGATGGCCTTCGTTTTGAATTTTCCTCTATATTCGACGAACTTTCATCACTTTCAGAGTCATTTTTGACGTCGCCGTGACTTTCCTTCACACCTTCATCGTTCTCGGAACTGCATTGCGACACTGGCTCATCAAGTTCTTCATGATCTGTAAGAAATAAGAATCAATAATTTGTAATCTTCTGTCCTGACTTATTATGAGTCTTCCGTCACTAGCAATGAGAGTTTTAAAAATCTAACCTGATAGCGGTGAGTCATGGTTTTGAATTCCAGAATCGTCCTCCAAGACAACGAATGTTCTATCTGGAAGATTCTCTGAAATAACCCCGGCGTCTTTACCTGAGGATGTGCTTGCAGTAGGTGTGGTGAATACCTCCTCTTCGGAATCACTTTCCAGAACACTTATAACCTTTCTTTTGACTTTAGAACCAATGTTTCCCTCCCCATCAGATGAGGAATCATCTGTTTCATTCGATTTGGAAAACTGTTTCTCCAGATCATCCTCGTCGTGCACAGTATGCAACACCGGGAGATCAATAACATCACTGGATGGAGGAGACTGGAAAATATTAAGATGATTATCCAAGGTACAACTGTGGTAGCTCACTTGACACTGAGGTGATCAGACAAACGCATATTTTATAGAAACACCTCATAGAGTCTTTGCATTAGAATAAAGATATCCATACATAGTACATGTGATTACAAAATGACCATGCAGGGGTAATTTACCTCGGGCACATTTTTATGAGCCTGTGTTTCAGTTGGTGACAATACACATGGGCATTTCTTTATGTTGAATGATTCTGACACATGAATACCTTCTGGACAGCATGTAGTGTAGGTTGGCAAAATAACTAGAAAATATTAAAAAGCGATTTAAAATTCATCAAAATAAATTATGCACAGGAGTTTTTATTAATATCAATCAACATTTAGCTTCTGATTTTTCACAACATTCACCTTTCATGGAATTCGTTGAAGTGATCAATGCATTTCTTGGTGACGTAATTTGTTGAACATTTTCTGAATCTTCGTCATCGTTCCACACACTTGCGACATTCTCCAGGTGATTTTTAGCAGCAGTGTGACTTTCTCCGTCACCTTCATCGTTCTCGGAACTGCATTGCGACACTGGCTCACCTAATTCTTCATGATCTGTAAGAAATAAGAATCAATTTGTTATCTTCTTTCCTTACTTAAGCTTATCTTATCTGATAGTTTTTAAAATCCAGCCTGGTGGTGGTGAGCCATGGTTGTTAGTTCCAGAATCGTTCTCCAAGACTACGAATATTCTGTCTGGAAGATTTTCATTATTCTCGTAATTTGAAATAACCACGTCTTTACCTGAGGATGTGCTTGCAGTAGGCGTGGTGAATACCTCTTCCTCTGAATCACTTTCCAGAACGTTTATAACCTTTCTTTTGACTGGAGAACCCATGTTTCTCTCCTCAACTGTTTCCTTCAATGTTATATCGGAAAACTTCTGCTCCAGACCATCATCGTCTATTTTTGCATCCAACACGGTGAGATCAATAACACCGGAGGATGCGGGAGACTGGAAAATATTAAGAGGATAATTAAATGCAGTCTGCATGGAGAAATGTCGTTAGATAACAAGTGCGGTTTAGATGGGTCAACCTGGAAGAACTTTTCTCACATTGAGGTTAGATTTTAAGAAAAACTCTCGTTCAGGTTAAGTCGTACATATCAGAACTTACCTGGGACTTCTTTCTGCCAGGTTTGAACCGTGTAGAGTCTTCACTGGAAGGAATAAAAACTTCCATATGTTCGTGAATTTTGGTTTGATTTTTCTTTTTCTTTTCTTTCGACAAAGAAGAAAGTAAATAATCATCTCGTGCGGCGATAGCTTGACTTGACTCAGTTCTCATGATGTCTGCTGCTCGACGAACCTTAACAACGTAAAAACAGAGTCAGAGGAGCAAGAGAATTAACGTAGTACAGTATTTAACTCTGTGAGTTATTGAGTAAATAGTCAACCTGCGATTATGAACTTTGTGGAATCACACGGTACCTTTGCTTGAATAGCGTCATTCATCTCAGAACTGCCAGATATCTCGTCTTCTGTCGCAACAGCTTCCTTGGTGAACAACAAATCATGATCACTGATTCCAAAGATGTCCGTGGAATAGAGAAATGCAATGTGTTGATCGAGCAAATTGTCCGTCACACGATGAGTTGAATGCATCTTCTCAAGTTGAATTTGCGTTTTTGAGCTGCGGTGATCGTCCAAAACAAACAGTTCTCTTAATTCATGTCTACTGAAATACCTGCAGAAGCAATAAAATTCAAAAAATCTTGGTTAGATTAACAAATATCGCGGCAATCAACATCTATTTTGTGCTTTGCCTAACCTGAAAGGATTTATTGAAGACCCAGTCGTTTGTTTTGTAATAGCTTGTTTAAATACTTGTTTACGGTAGATCTTTTCTTCTAAACTTCCGCACGTTATAAGACGGTATATGACAACCGTTCTTTTCTGACCAATGCGATAAGCCCTAAAAGAAAAAATAAGATCATAAATCACGATCATACCACATAGTTCAGAGGACGAAGAAGCCACCGTTGTTTAACCTGAGAACTGAGAAGAAATTCATTTTCTGGGTGAAGCAAGAGTTTCTTACCTATCAACTGCCTGTGCATCTGTTGCGGGGTTCCAGCTTGGATCAACTAATATTAAACACAAATGAAACATGTTATAATACGGCGGATGCAAACTTGCATTGAGGAGATTCGATCGCTATTTAATAAATGAAAAATACTCGACATACAAATGACAACTCTGTCAGCAGCAGTCAAGGTTAAACCAACTCCTCCAACCTTTGGAACATGAAACATAATTCAAAACATATCAGAAATATCAGATAATGTGTAAAAAAATCGAACAGTTCGTATGACCAGGTAAAGATGAGGAACAAACCTGTGTTGTCAAAAGAAACACGGAATATGACGGGTCTGTTTGAAACGTGCAAATACGAGACTCTCTTTCATAATTGTCGACCGTCCCATCGATACGAATCATTTTGATTCCCTTAAGAAAAAAAGAACGAATTATTACACTTCATTCCGTTAAAAAAACGTAATTTTTTTACTGTTCCTGGTGCTTAAAACGAAATGGTACCCAAACCTTATCTTTCAAAACCTTCTGAATAATATCCAGCATCTTTCTTGATTGACTAAACACAAGAGTTCGATGTCCTTCGCGCTTTAAATTCACCAGAAGTTGAAGAAGAAAGACAAGTTTACCAGATTCTTCAACAAGTTGATCCACGGGAGGAGAGCACCATTCATACTTACATTCTGTGTCTTCGTCGTCTCTGATTTATATTAAAATAATTGCAAGTAAAATACACAATACCTGCCGAGCTACGAGCGAAACATTTCTTATCATTATAGGAATTACAATTGATCAACTTACAGTTCATCACTCAATCCTAATTGTTTACAAGCCATGGTTGACAAGAGACGAGGATGATCACAAATCTTCTTAAGAACATTCAACTCTGCCAGCGGAGATTTAGTTGTCATCAATATCTGAAGTTAGAAAAAATACTTCTTTGTGAAAAGCTGAGGATGAGCGTTAATCACTTACAGACGTGTAAAATGCTACTTTATAATACAATATAATGCAATATATGCCAACTATATGTATCTCCACACCTCCTTTACTCTGTCCAACTTAACAAAATCTTCGTATATTTGGAGTTGCGTCTGTGACAGATACAACCAGATAATAAAGTCATTCTTTCGAGTTAGTTTTGGTTTTTTTCTTCTAAAAAATCATACAGCAGTCAGTTAATAATTTTTTTTTTGCATTGCATCAGTCACATTAACCGACAGTGTTGAAGAACCATTACCCATTGTGGTCTACATTTTCTTTGTCTGAATCCACATCACCATCATCACCATCATCATCACCATCATCATGATGCTTGACATCTTCACTAGTACTAGCCTTCTTGCTCTGTTCAAGAATATCTTTGGTTCGTCGCAGGAAATGTGGGGCTATCAGTTCTCGAAGATGTGCAGATATTTCCTGACCCATTCTCTTCTCATATGCACTTGCATCTCTCTCACGAGCCTGAAGGAAAAAATCATTGTAGCCATGTTCACTGAGAGGTGTTTGAGACAGTTGACTATTGAGTTAATTCCTCATTTATTATCCTCTGAATAATTGTTCAATCCTGCAATATGCAGCTGTTTGACAGCGCAAGTCAAGTGTAGGAACATTACATCCAAGGCAATGACATGATAGTTTATCATACACACATATAAATTTACTTACTCGTACAATCGGTTGCTCGTATTCTTTTTTAAATGATCGTGATGTCCCCAAGAGTTGTCCTTGACAGACAAAATCAAATAGAGCCCACATTTCCTGGAAAGAATTATTGGTAATACAACTGTAATTACCAGATGATATGATCACCAGCACATGGTACAATTACCAGATGATATGATCACCAGCACATGGTACAATTACCAGATGATTACAGTACTTTAATTTGACAATTGTAAAAATCTTACCTTCAAGTTATTCTGTACTGGTGTACCAGTTAAAATGAAATGATTTGCAGCAGGAATTGCTCGAATTGCAATAGTTGTTTTGTTTGCAGTGTTTTTGATCTTGTGTCCCTCATCAAGTATAATATAATCCTAGAGAAATATCAATTATAAAAACAAATTAATCATACTTCTGTATAGTTCAAGTAAAACTGGATGAAAATAATTGATGCAGTGATCTTACCCATGTGAATCTACCACCATATTTGTCCTCAGAGAACTGAGCAGAACAAGAACATGCAAGACCTGGAAGACATTTGTACATCTCAAACATTTTGTACAAGATTTGTCAGAAAAGTTCAACATCAATCATTGTTTGAGGTACTAGATAAGATCTTTTTGGATAATATTTTATATGATTACCATAGGTGGTTAAGCAAACTCCTTTTCTGGATTGAATTTTTCCTAGATTTTCAGTACGCTGCTTTACGCTTGAACCATGGAACAAAACAACCCTAATTTCAGGAGCCCTGAAGAGAAAATTTGGTTGAGGATTGATTGTCATCAGAACAGGTTGTTGCATTAAAGTATAGAACATACTTTTAAAGAATATAAGCTACTAAACTTTACAGAGCCTGATTTAATGATACCTACCATTTTTTAAATTCTTTTTCCCAGTTTGAGAGAAGTGACACAGGCATAACTATCAACACAGTCTTTACATGGCCACTTCTGAACATTCCAGCCAGAAATGAAATCACTTGGATAGTCTTCCCTAATCCCATGTCATCCCCTAATATTCCTCCTTTTTTCTCTTCATAGAGTTTCCAAAACCACATCACACCTTCAATTTGATATGGATAAAGCTTGTTGTGAATAGCCTTAGGCAGTTTGAAACCTTCTACATCTTCTTCATCATCATCATCAGCATTAGCATCATCATTTAAGATGTCGTCATATTCCTCCAACTTTCTCTGAAATGGAAAGGTTAAAAAGTATTGTTACCATTGAGGAAATGAATTAATTGATGCAATATTTTATCAACATTTCCATTGCAAAGACAGTAAATGTACAACTTAATTGTCCATATTGTCAATAACATATATAAAACATTATTCCTACCTCCAACTTATCAATTCGTTTTAACACCTTTTCACTCTTGTGTATTTTATATGCTTTTTTATATAAAGTTAAACTCTTCTCTAAATTTCCATCACTTGCAGCATGTTTTGCCCTGTTTATGAAATCTTTAAATTGTTCTTTTAAATCTTCAAGACTTTCATGTTGTTTTGCCTCATTTGCATCTAAATAATAAATAGTTTTTTAATTTCTATCAAATAATTTCATAAAGAATTACTGAAACAAAGGTTTAGCCATACATTTAATTCAAAATTGGCAAATCACTAAAAGTTTATATTTATTTTCTACCGTCGTCAATGCCAAGACTATTCAATCTCTCTTCCAAACTTTTAACGACAACTTCTTCGTCATAATTCATTGTTTATAAGATAAATTTCAATTTTTAAGAAGGCAATATAAACAAAACATTGAATTTAAACCATAGTTCTGCAGTAATTCAAAGTTTAACCAACTCAAAAAGTAGCGCGAATTTCCTTCATTGTTCCAAACTGAGCCTGCATACAATCTTCATTACTTCATGTTAAGAACCGTGTTGTTGAAACAAGTTCGATAACTTCGGTTGTCATAAAAATTATACTTATAAATACAACTAAAAAACGCCAGTTTTTTGCTCTTTAGAAAAGGAAACATGTAGTTATCATATTATCAAGATGCTTGTTGTGCATTTAACGGCTGTATACGGAATGGAAAGAAAAATTTGTTGTTAAACTTTCAAACTGAATGGCTCCAACTGATGCTGTATGATTGTATATTTCTATAGTAACAAGTTATCTAATTTTTTTTATACTATTAATCCGCATTTCTTTGTTTTTTTATGGTGTGTCAAGGGTATATAATATTCACGTATTTTTTTATATTTTTCAAGACTTTACCACCAACAGTTGATGAAGATGATAGTCTTCCAACAGCAGGAATTATTTTTATTGCCATTGGTGCTTATATTGTCATTTTCACCCTTGGCATATTAATACGGCAATGTTTACTGGTTAGGATTATTTACCTTGAATAATCTATGTCGTTCTATTTTTGAAAAGGAAAGTTTCGTGAAAACATAGAACTTCACTCATAACATGTTTCTTTTAAAAGGCAAGAGGCTTAAGCATTTGTCCTGAATGGGTGCACGAGATGTGTTGTACAACATGTGCTTGTATGTCCTGTGTTGGTATCGCTCACTGTGCAGAACTTTGTGATTTCAATGTTCCAACAAAACGTTCATGTCTTGATTGCTGTTGTCCAACAAAAGAGGTATGGACGTGTATATAGAGACATTCATCATTTTTGGCATGTTTAAAAATTCAGGTTAAATTTATAGAGATGTGATGAAATGTTCTGTTGTTGTATGAACCAATTGCCTGGTGGAACATTGTGTGATGATTGTGCAGGACCAGAATGTCAGGTAATAACTAAACTAATACTTATAAGATGAAGTAATCTCAATAAGCTCGCTAATACAAACCTTTTCCCTTTAGTGTGGAGACTGCAATTGTGCTTGCAACTGTCAATTACCTGAATGCAATTCCATCAACTGTATTTGTTTTGAGATACAACTAAAGCAACCTGGATATTCAGGGAATGCCCAGGCTAATTCAGGCTACTATGGACAATATCCAGGACAAAATGTAGCATATCCTGGTCAAAATATCAATTATGGGCAGCAACTGTCACATACCAACCCACAAGCCTGAGAGGACAGAACATAAACTTACTGTAATTAACTTAGAACCACAATTAATACTCTACACATCCTTGAAACAATATGGTTGGGAAGGAACCATCTCACCCTAGTTCCAATCCTACAGAGTGAAGACCAAGATGCAAAAAGTAGAACTGGTAGATTAGAGTGTGAACCAGTTGATCAAATATTTTTATTGTTGATCTTAGTAGATATAGAAATAACATAGTCTACATGTTCTATACTAATCATTAATATATAAGTTAGTATACAGGTGAAACAAATGTTAAATTTGACTGCATTCTCATCTCTTGAATATTTATATAGAAAGTTAAAGGGTAAAGTTTATTTGCATTGTCATTGAGAAGTAAAGCCTTTGAAATATACAATGGTAGAAAAGTAAAGTTTGTCATCTGATAGTTTCAGGACTGGACTAGTTTGATTAAGAAATTAATTGAATACTGCAAAAATAAGCAAAACTGAAGTTAGACATTTTGGGGTTTACAGTCCTTGGAATCTGAGAGTCTGATTAATGGCAACTGCTGTTTGCCACTGGAAATCGTTGAACGTGTGTGATCTTTCGTGGCTCCGCAACAACAGAACTTCTCGATGCACGCAGCACGGAAATCACTTCTCCAGAACGCAAACATGATAGGATTGAGCACGGACGGAAGAAAACGCAACACAGTTAACGCGTAACTGACTTTAAACTGGATATCATCGGTGAAGGTTTCGTAGAGTACGGAGGCAAAATAAGGCGCCCAGCACAGGAAAAATACCACCCACATCAAACCGATTATATAAAAACCACGGTATCGTGTGCAGGAGGACAGATTTGGGTACTTCTTCTTGGAACATACAGAATCACGTTTGATACGACCCAGCTGGCGTTTAGCTTCTGACACGATGCGGAAGTAGACAAAGAATAACATTGCAATCGGTAGAAGGAAGAAGGTTATGAAAGAGACAACCGCGTATATTTTATCATTTTGAACAACTTTCTCATCATGTTCAAAACAAAATTCACCACTCTGGGGGACAACCCAAGTCCAGGGGACAAACGAGTGACCAATGGCGACAATCCAGATGATGGCAAGTGTTAAACCAGTGGATCTTTTCGTGACAATCTTGTCGTGGCTGAAAGGTTTCAATATTGCTAGGTACTGCTCACATGCGATGACCAAGAGGTGAAATATGCTGACAATCGACATAAACCAAAACCACGTGTGTAGAGATTTCATCGTAAAACATAACTGTACCAAAGTCATTTTATCCTGCACAAAGTGCAAGATCACATACACTGGTATTCCAACGAGTCCACTTGTTCCATCAGCAACGGCAAGACTAACTACCAATGCGTTGCAGTTGCTTCGAAGTTTCACATTTCTGCAGACCAATAGAACGATGAAAATGTTTACCACAACAATGATACCAGCCAGAAAACACAGAGGAATGAAGTAGGCCTTTAGGTTGATATCATCATCGTCATTGTGATAACCAGACCCACTTCCAGACCAAAAACCTGATCCACTTCCAGAAGGCTCTTCTGTAGTGAAACCGAGTATACTTGTTGGGCTTTCCATCATTTTATCACATCAACTTCCACCTTCTTCTTCTTGACAACTTCAGTTGAAGTTCGTTTATCTTAGACTCTTTATTTTCCTGTAAAGAAAATAGCCGAATTCATATTAGATCAGATACGGGAAACTCGTCTAAGACGGGAACCTCATCTAAGACGGGAACCTCATCTAAGACGGGAAACTCGTCTAATGTGAATCCGGTCACAGGCAGGTTTCTCGTCCGAATTTTCCCGTCTAACTTTCCCGTCTAAACAGACGGGTAAGTTGGACGGGAATCCCGTCTGGACGAGAAATTCGTCTTAAATTCGCATTCAGTTTGTGAAATATCAACACGGTCAAGGACGGAACAAGAGACAACAAACAATTTTTATCGTAACAATTACGATACTCTTTTTAGCATTACCCGACCCATCACGCGTATAAATTTATCCATTCCTATTCATATTTAGACGGGGTTTTTACCATCCACTCTCCCGCGTAAGATGAGTTCCCTGTCTCTATCTTTCTCTGTCTCATATTAGAGACAGGAAACTCGAAACCTTTATTTTCTTTAAATTTTCCAGTCTAAGTCTATGATATCAAGAACAGCACGTATGAAACAGGATATAACTAACTCTCGTCTAATTATACTCTCGTCATTAATGTTTTATCACTATTATAAGACGTAAATTTGTCAAAACGTTAGACTACACCAGGTGGTGCCTGGTGACATAGTATCCCACAACAAGTATTACTATTTATCGCATAAATGAAATCTTCCCCAACCAAAACTCCCACCAAAACTACCTGAGATAATGTGAATACTTTGCACACAAAAACTGCGTTCAATACTCCAAATTTCGTGTTTAAAACCAGTCAACGTTTGTGGTGATCGTGTTTCGCATCTGTTTGTTACGACTGTTGAGAGAAATGAATTGTGACTGGCCAGATTGTGTAAACTTCCCCTCAGCCGTGTGTGGCATCTTAAATATTTTACCGACATGTGTCGAATAATTAACCTCCAATTGAGAGAGAAAGAAAGGACAAATTTAACAATTAAAATGATTGGCAAGGTTGTTCAATCTGTTTACATTAATTAACACACAATGCATAACACAAGTCGAAAAATAACAACACTTTTTTTCTACATCCTGATTTTTTGGCCAAAGGGAAAAATCTCAACAAATAGTTTTTCTTAAGAGTTTACCGTTAATTGCCGTATTTTTTAAAGACAACTAACAGCAATGCATGCAGAACGCTGTGCTCGAGCATTTTTTGGCGGTTTTCCTCTAAAATTTTGATGCATAATGCTAAATAAACAAACACTTGAAGATGACAGATGCTTGAGTTTCATTGTTAACATACACCAGATTTTTAAGCGATTCCGAATACGAATGATTCAAAATGCCGGATGGGTTTTTGCCATTTTCAATAAAACACTTGCCTATATAGAACTTCCAAACTAGTTGTGCATATTCTTCCTATGCTACATGAAGCTTGGGAGTTAGGAACTTGTTCAAATCAAGCTGAATTATTGCTCTTAAACTGGCGCCGGATTTGCAATTAATTCCTGACGAAAAACAGGCGTCACTTATATTAACGACTCTGGGTTACCGTTTTCCTTTTTTGACATAAAACATACAGTAATGTACCTTAAACTCATATAGTATCCCTCAACGGACTGTTAGGTCAATATATCCTTTGACTTACCAAAGCACGCAACAGCAAAAGATCTCGACAATCACGAACGCCATCTAAAATAAGTTTCATGATTTAGTTAAAATCAGTTTGAATCAATCCAGGAATGAATTTTAGAAAGAGAAAATGTCTTCAACTTACATTTTTAAAACCTTATCTTTACCACCACTTGCAACTCTAGTACCATCAGGGCTCCAATCAACACTATAAACCTGACAATTATTGATTCTTAATATTAGTGAAGAAGTTACAAGAGGTAGCAGTATGTTTCTTGTTGAAGAATGGGGCATGCAGATATAGGTATACCAGAGTTGATTTTGTGGGGGGAAGAAAAGTCTATGGATCAATGATAAGGTAACGTGATTCAACAGTGTGAACTGTACGTTTGACAGAAATATTTATAGAAGTTAATCCTAAGCTCTGCCTTCGCAAGGTCAGCCAGCATTTCATTGTTTTAAGTAACGCTAATGGACGGGCTTGTCGTAAATAACCGTCTCATTCATTTACAAACATCCATAAATTAAATCAGCAAAGCATTGTGTTAAGAGTGTATTTAAATAATATTTGGCATTAGTACTTCACCATGAAAAATTTCATAATGAGGTTGCATGCAGGTTCAGCGCTATTTAGAAAATTTGTAATGATCCTTGCATGTTGCTGTCGTGCTTCATGACGGAGCCACAGACCCGTTTAGAAAATTGCATGAATGTAAGTCGGTGGTCGGAATAATCCTGTCTTGGTATTTTGACTGTAATTAAGTCAAGTACCTGCAGATCATCCATCTTAGCAGGTACTTCAAACAATCATGCAACGTTCATGCAACCTAACACAGGCACTAAGATATGACATTGCACTGTGACTGGTGATGTTCAACTTGACAAAAAGGATAAACCAAGACTATCGCTTTTAGAGGGTCAATATTAGCAACTTTCCAGCTGCCTGAAGAAAAAATTATAGCTTAGCTCTTAAAAGGATTACCTCATCTGCATGACCAGGAAGATCTTCTAACAATTTTCTACTTTGAATATTCCACACCTTTAAATGAAGATCAAACATAGAGTTAAAATTAACTTTCACAACAGTGGTAATGGGAATTAAATCATAGACTAACCTTTAATGTGCTATCAGAACTGCCGCTAACCAACAGTCTACTATCAGCAGACCAGGCAATCTAGTAAAAGAAAAAGAAAACCTATATTATTTTAGGGTTGTGTTTAGTGTTGAATAGTTGTATCAAGGTCAGGTTTACCTGGTATACAGAACTGACATGACCTCTTAATGAGGCCAAAAACCTAAATGAAATACAAAAAGATAATTATAGCTGTTTTCACTCAAGGTTATAGCATATGGTTTTCCTAAAGAAATACTTCAAGAATCCTGCATTGACTTTCATACTTTCCAGTATTTCCATCCCAAAGTTTGATTGATTTATCAAATGAAGCGCTGGCAATTGTACGTCCATCTGGAGAAAAAAGAACTTCATTGATCAAAGCTTGATGTCCTGTCATTCTTGCCACTGGCTTTTTATTTTCCTCCGGCTCCCAAAGAAATAAAGTAAAATCATCTGATCCAGACACAAGTTTCTCTCTTTTTGCTCCCTATGAAATGTGAATAAAGCATTGTATGTTTGTACATATTAAGGTGTTGGCTATACTGTGTCATATATTTTTCATTGTGACAATATTCAGGAATATTTAGGATTAGATCCCACACAAAACATCACCTTAACTTCCTTGTATCTCTCAAAAGCTCTAGATTTTATTTCATCTTCTGTATTGTAAACATAACAACATTAAATTCAAATTTACGCACATGTCACAAGGGTGCTAATCACTAGAAATTGCAGGGGGATCAATCTTTCTGAATATGAACTGAACTAGATGATGAACAGTGTATAGGAATGGGAATTTACAGGCATTCAAGAGCCCTTATGAAAAAGCTTTAAACAAATTGCAAATACTAATTACCAGATGTAGATTTAATTTCTTCTTTATTGGATTTTTCTTCCTTAGCAATTTGTACAGGATCAAATGCTCCAGTCCTTATGGCATAATCTGTACTCAATGTCATTGTGTTCACCTGATAGAAATTTTACCATTTTAGCAGTTGATAAAAATGAAAATATAGGTAAAATATTTTCAATATTTAAAGAAATTTTACCCAGTGTCCATGGCCTTGCAATGTCCTGCACAACATGCCCTAAAGAAAAGTATTGTGTCAAAGTTTATACCCAAATTCTTGATGGTTTAAAACTTGGTTTTGATTAAACTTACATCCTCTGCTTTCCAGACTTTAATTGTTCTATCTTGTGATGCAGAATAAATCAACCCCTCTCCTCCCCATTTGATGCAGGTCACACACTGTGTGTGGCCAGAGAGAGTCATTGATAATCTCATAGTCGTAGTGTCCCATATCTTGATTGTTGAATCCTACACAAAAATCATGAAACCACACCATAATTTAAATTGATTGCATGCATAAGTACACCTATAATGCAATAATTAACCTTTATAGGAATAGGATTTTCTTGCAAAATAAACCAGTTAAAATACCTTTGAACTACTGGCAAAAAAACGACAAACAGGATTTCTGTAAAAGAACAGTAAAATAGGCATTAGATTTGGCAAGAATATAAATATTTTCTAGTCTGAATTTCTTGTAGATTTCGTCTCATAAATACAACCACTTAAATTATATCATCATATTCATGTCACAAAATACCTGTGTACAGGCTCCCAGCAAAGTGCTGTGATCCATTGCCTGTGTCCTTTCAAAGTTTTCCCAAACTGCTCTCCTGTGTCAGGTTTCCACAAAATGATCTGAAAGGGTTGTTCAGGAATGATCAACCTTGCTAGTAATTCTAAAGGTAGAGTAAAGTGGAATTTTCATCACTTACTTCACCATTTTTACATCCAGACGCCAGTTTTTTACCATCACCTGACCAGGCAATACATAGTACCCAATGTTTATGACCTTTGCACGTAAACTGTGGTGTTTCTGTTGTTAAATCCCAAAATCTAACAGTAGTATCACCAGAACCACTTGACAGGTACCTAAAGACATGCCTTAGTCATCATTGCATGCATACAATCAATCTCATGCAAAAACACTATTTAAATTCTTTTTTAAGCAATCACCTTCCACAAGGGCTAAATGCCAAAGAAATTACAGCTTCAGCATGACCTATAATAAAGCATTTTGAAAATAACTGTCACTCACTGACACTGTGCTTCGAAAAACAAGACTTTTACACCTTGTATAATATACCTGCAATAGTACTGGTGCATCGAGTCACAGCTCGAACACGAAAGATTGCTTGTGGTTGATATATTATCTCAATGATTTTTTCTGTTTCAAGAAGACCTTGGTTAACAACATCCCCAATGCTGCCTGTGACCTCGGAATCATTGATAAAAAATGAATAAACATTGTCTGTGTCCTATAAAAATTTGGAAAAATAAACCCAGTCAATTTAAAAGGAATATAATAGTGAATATTTAAACAAAGCAGTAAATCTCCAAATGAAGATACCTCAGGTAAGAAAGCTTGGCAGACTAATTGTAGTTTATCTACTGTAGTGTCTAGTGACATATCAAATGGTGATCCAACCAGCTCCCCATTTTCACTTTTAAATTGGGCCAAAATTCTTCCAGTTGATCCCTCATCCATGATTTTTTTCAACAGCAACAAAAACTAATTATAAACTGTGGCAACTAATAATATAAATTTATTTACATGAAAAATTTATTTATTTCACTGAATTCTACACACGTGCAACCAACGCGAGCTTCCACGTAACAGACTTTGGGAATCTTGAAATATAAATTTTGTGTTTTTTGTGTAAATATAAATAGTTTTCACTAATTTTCAGCCGTCTTTTGAGACAAGGGAGCCTTGATAATACAAACAAAATAATTCAAAATACAGCTCAACTGCTAAAGAGAGAAAATCGTCACAATTATACCAAAATTTTCAAAGTGAAAGAAATTTTCTTTCGCAACTTGAAATTTTCTAGTGGAAAAATCAACATGGCTGCAAAAAATGTCCAGATTTTAGTAAACAGATATTTCGATATATTTCGGCGAAGTTTATGGGTAAAAAGCTCTCAAAATCGATGTTTTACTAGGTTTATATCAACGCCTAGTTTCTCAGTTGCGACTGCACGAGAACAAAAGCAATTTAATGACGAAATTTATCCTGATCTTACACAGAATTCAAGCATTCCTTTAGAGACCTTTGTCAATCGTAACCCTAAGAATCCCGAGTATTTTGGATATAACAAGCAGCGCGGTTATTCTACGCAATATAAAAAGAGGAATTTCTTCAAAAGGTAACGCTTTTTTGGCAAATCATGACAGTATAAAAAATGCTGACTCAGCAGTCTTATTAATGTGAGACTAATTAGGCTTAATCTTTAATTTAGGTTGAATCTAGTTTTGAGTAATCGACACGTGAAAGCTTATGTTGAAGACCAAAATGGAGACGTCCTTGTCAAAGCCTCAACAGAAGAGTTTGATGTTCGGAGACACTTGTACAAAGCAAATGACGTATCAGCTGCGGCAAATATAGGGCGAGTTCTAGCTGAGAGATGTCTACGAGCTGGACTGAATCAAGTGTCCATGTATACTACAGATATACGCAAGAAGGAAAAGGTAGTTTTTCATCGCCATTACATTAGATGTTGATATTATGCTGCTCAATGAGTGATAAAATATTCTGCTAACCACACACATATTATAACAAACTTGCTTTAGTACAAGGAGTTCAGAAAAGCTATGACCGCTGGAGGCATTAAACTTACAGAACCAGCAAGAGTTGTACCACTACAGACTTTTTACACTGGCAAGTTATACTATTTTTTAAGATCAAGTAAGCAAGTCCTTCAATTAGTATGGTAAACCTTTTTCCTGTGTTTAGGCATTTCAGTGAGGAAGAAACGTAAGGGTATTATTGGAATGAAAATAAACAATTCCACGAAAAGAAAATTTACATAGAGAGCTGCTAATGAACAACATTAGTTGATGTAGCAGGCGGTAACACAAAGAAATGCAATTATAAGGCTGAATCATCATGCTCTGCTTTGAAGCTTATCTCTTGTATAGTAATTGCATATTTTACAAAAAATGCATTGACAAGAATTTAAGACCAAAGAGTCCACCAAACCCTTTTTATATTTGTTTTTTCTACTCTGTACACAAATGCTAACTATATTCACTTAAATAACACGCTTGACCTCAAAGAATCGTTTAAGATAGTAAACTTGTCCAACTGTCATGGCAACAAGAACAAGCGACTCAAAGAATGACCACCATACAACACGACTGTTTGTGTTATCATTGACTACAGAAAGATAAAATATATATTTATTTATCAGAAGTGACTCATGTCAGCTACTACCATCAAACTAGACACAATTCTGGGTTGTTCAAGTTAATCTAACACAGGCTAATATCATGCATCTTAAAGTTCTTACAAAAATGTTGTACTAAAAGTAAACTTTTTTATCCCATGGTGTTCAAAACATTCCTACGTATTAATTGTCTCATTGTGGGAATGCAATTTGTGGACATAAAAGCCATCTGGACACAGTAACAAACTTCACAAACTTTATCAAAAGCCATAGATTTTATTGTCTTTAAACCAAAAACTGACTCACTTGCTCTATGAACTTTGTCTCTTATTTCCATATATTCTTGCTCATGTTTCACACCACCAAGAACTGCTGATAGTTCTTGGATCATACCATTTAATTTATCATGGTGCTCTATAATACGTTAACAAGAATAAATGGTTTCATCTTCACCATGTATGAATTGATAATGGTATTCAAAGTGGTTCTTAGTCTGTTCAACGTACCATCATTCTTCTTCAGTTGGTCTTTAGGAGGGTCACCCACTTCCATGTTAAATTTCAACAACTTGCGGTCCATTGTTGAGACTCTGTTACTAAAGCAATACCTATACATGCCATCTGTATATGCAGCAAAAGTGTACTTTCCACTGCTTTCTTTCTCTCCATTATAGATAACTTTCTGGTCAGGACCTATTATCTACAGAGGAAAATTAAACTGTTTGAACTAAGAAAAAATGATAGCTATACTACTTGGGTTGTTTCTCAATATGAGCAGACAGAAATAGAGAGTTTCAAAAGAATTATTGTCAATTAAGGGAAAGATTGATCAATGATCATATATCGATGGAGGGCAACGTAACATTGAATTATCTGACACTGACAGTCGCACATCTTACCGTGACGTCTATATCTCTAAATCCTCCCTCAGCAACTTCAAATAACAAACCCATTTTAGTTCCAGAAGTGACTTTATCATAAAAACACTGTTCTTCATGAGCCTCTACGGTTATAAAATATCCCTGAGTCGTACAAGGAAGGCAAATAAATATAAACAAGAATTTTAACTCCATCTTGTCCGCCATCTTGGAGAGGAAATGTCACGTGGCGTATCCTTCCTTCGCCACGTCATTCACAAACCAGAGAACCAGAGAATTCAGGTCAACCCAAATAAGCCTTTTTTCACTACAGAGAGTTACTGAATGCAGTTTTTTTTCAGAGAATTATGTTAGGAGTTCAATAAGAAACAACTGAGACTGAAAACAATAACTCTGTGCTTCATAACTTTCCATTTAGTCAGTCCTTTTACTCCTCTATGATTGAATATATTTGAAAAAACTACTGATAATCCCTATTTTTTGGTATATTTAACTCACTGGCAACAACACAACAGTCAGCTCATATAAAATCCAGTGCTGCAGCAAATGTGGAAACCCAAGATCGACTTAGCTAATAGTTATGCCTGCCAATAAGTTACTAGATGTATTGAAATAATTTCATGATCATATAAATTGAACTGTTTTTTTAATCCATAGTAATAAAACTAGGTAACAATTACTTCTCAAGTATATCCTTTTTTATGTATTGACAAAAAACTTTGCTAGCACTTAGTAATAAGGTCACAGTTGCCTATACTATCTTTGTAGCTTTGAAAAAAATAGATAGAAGCTGGATTTCAGTTAGTACCATTGCAAGAAGATGATGGTGAACATAGAATTAGAAATTTTTTACATGTGAGAAATAAATACAAGTGATGTGGTTTGTTTGACTCTTTCTTTTAATGATCACCATCAACTACCTGCAAATCACTTAAGAAAGCCATAAATAACACTATGAATCTTCTTATATAACTCTTCTAACTTCAAAGAATCTTTTGATGTAGTAAACCTGTCCTAATGCCATGCCAATGATAAGAGCAAATTCAAAGAATGACCACCAGCTGACAATTTGGTTTGTATGTAGATTGACTAAAGAAGACACAAGGCAGTCTATAATAATAGCTATTTTTACGCTGTTGGACAAATCTATTATGGTAAAATGCTTTCCAATAGTAGATCAGTTTGGTTTAAACTTACTGTTATGGTGTGATTCCATTCTCACTTCATATTGCTCTTGTTTACGTTTAGTTTTAATCACTCCAATACTTAATTCTCCAACCAGTTTTTCAAGTTCAGACACTACAAAGAACAAGAAACTTACTTTTGAAATGAGTTTCCATCCTGACATTCTGTTTAACTTGGGTACGTCTTAACTTCATTATCTCAACGCTCAATTCTCCAACAACTTTGTCTACTTCGGAAGCTAAGACCAAGAACAAGATTTCCATAAGACGTGCTCAATAATTTTAAAAGCAAACTTTGCACTGCCATCTCATTCTTGAACAAAGATATTGACATAATTCTTCAACATTTTGAAAGCACACAAGTACCTGTCTTATTATGACCATCATCTTCATTTTCGTTATATCTTTTCTCATCATTTAAAAAGTCAAACATGAAATAAACTAATTTTGGGACTAATGACGACTTCTTGTTCCCTAAACAGAACACATATTTTCCGTCCTGTTCTGCAGTAAAAAAATAAGAGTCGTCTGTCTTCTTCTCTTGAGAGTACATCTGTTGGCCATCTGGTGCTGTAAGCTGTTAGGGTAATAGAATGTTGAACAAATCTAGTCGACTCACAGTAGTGGTTGCACCACCATCATTACAATGGTCATTATGAAGGTTAATTAGGTGGTAGCATATGGTAACTATGGATATGTGGTAATCATTAGAATAATCCTTCCTATCAAAAATCTTCCACATGGTACACCACATGACCTTAAGTAATAATGGATAATTGAGTACTACTGTCAGTAAGTACTGTGTCCTTAGTTACCGTACCTAGAGTTACTGTACCTAGAGTTACTGTACCTAGAGCTGTGTAAATTAACTTCATGGGTAGGTAACTGATATGGTGCAATAATTAATTTTTAGAACAGTTTGATTACATATTGAATATGCTGCATGTTCATTGAAATTTGAATTTAATCTGGGACAATGATTGACAAATATCACAGTCACTGGTAATTATGTCAAGCTATCAAAGCTGGAAAATTATCCGGGTTATACGATATTTATTTATTATAAAGTTGCCTTGTATAAAAACTAAACTATACACTTGAACCCCCCCCCCCCTCTGGAATGTAACCAAACGTACCTTAGCGTCGATATCAAGAAAGCCTCCCTCGCTTACTTCATACAAAAAGCCCCACACTTGCCCTTTCTTTACGTTTTCGTGGTAACACTGTTCCTCGTATGGCTCAAGGTTAGTGAAAAACGACACTGAAATCCGCGGAAAAAAAGACAATACAGTTGCCACATACAAAGCATAAACACTGCAAAATTTCAGAGCCATCTTATGGCTGGATTTTGCTTAAAATTGTGGAAAAGGTAGCTCTTTAACGCCACGTCAGGGCTTGTGTTTCTTCTCTTGGAAGTTGGACCACAACACAATGGCGAAAAATATAACTGGAAAAAAATATCGAGCAAAAAGCGAAGAGTAAATTTTAACGTTCGTGGAAGTTGCGTGGATTTTGCATGAAAGTCTAATCATCACAGTACCAGATACGTGGTACAAATTTATTTGGATTTTTTTAGATACAACAACGAAAATGCGATTACTTTATTTAGTCTCATCAATAAAATATACCTTCATAGACGTACTGGTCTAAAAATGCGGGGAGTATAGATTAATAATGCAAGCAAACATTATCGAACATACGTACTGATGAAATGCGACAAGACCGATGTGGCCATTTTTACCGAAAAACACTGCCTTTGGTTACAACTTACAAATAGTATGAATAACCAAGTTGCATTCCCCACTCCACTGCACCCCCTCGCCCCTCCCAGTCACCTACGTTTATGCACACATGGGTTGGTTATAGAAGTTGGTTAATCTATATCCCTCCTTCTTTACGTCAACACGCAAAGCATTCCTAGAAATGTTTTCAAAATTATTTCCCAAGCATTATGCACCTCGTGGTTTAAATTTCTTCACAGGACGTCAATTCAAAGTCATTGTAAATGTAGCAGGTGCCAGATCTGTTTAATAGGCGAGTCAAAAACAAGTCAACTGAACCGGAACGAGTTCACAAACGAGTTTCCTTTTTTCAACAATGTCATAGACAACTATCCTTTCTTATACACTTCTAAAATATTTCCAACAATTATCCCAGTTGTGAAATGGATATTTTGCTTCCGTTCGCGTTTCTGTTGCTCGTTTGTCAAGCTATGTCAACAGGTGAAACTTTGTCATTGTGTTTTACATAACATTTAAAAGCGTGTAGTTTCAAAACATATATAAAAATATTTATATACTATATTCGGAGAAAAGATTATAAAAGATAAAAGATAACTTACTGTACAATATATTTACTACACCATCTAAAATATATATGATAAATCTTTATCACGTTAATTTATTGACAATGATAATAATCAACAATGGCCAGTCTGACGATTTCGTCTCGATATGCAAATATATTTCGTCTTCATTGAGAACAAACCATTTCTAAAGAAATGAATACTTAAATTGAGAATTTGCTAAATCCTCAGACTGGCTACACCACTGATAATCTCTAATTATACCAAAATTAATTGACGTACCTTCAAATCCATTGCCTAACCTTTCTCTTGCACTGCAAAGGGAAATCATAGTCATAAATGGACCAGCAACGTTCACAGTTCAGTTACTTTTGCTACGGTAGAGAACACAGTTAATTTTTACTAGCCAAAATAAAAAAGGCAGTCAGGCGATTTAGTCCGCTATGCTGCATGTATCTATTAACTTTGAATGTTCTTCCAAGAATGGCCGTTATGGTGATCGAAATAAAGATGAACTGTCATTCAGCAAGCCTGAACTAACACTTGGCCCCATTTCCAACAATTGTGTTTCAGAAGAGGAAATGTAATATAATATAATCTTTCCCTATTTTAGACAAGCTATCAGAGACATTTGAAAAGTTCTACACCACAGATTCTAGCTACGCCCATCCATCCAATCGCCAACACAGTGCTATAGGCATCAGCACTATGGCTGAGTTTTCAATGCTGAGCAACACGCCCACTCTATTTAAAGTTGACCGACCAGGCCTTGACAATGAAGTCAATACTGTGTCATTGCAATCGATACAACAACCCGGACTCTATCTTCGGTACAAGAATTACAAATTTCATATGGAAAAGTATGATGGTAGTGCATTGTTTAGTAAGTACACAACCATAATTTCTATTTAAGAAAATATTGCACAGGAGAAAGCTGGTTTTTTCAAAAGACCCACCCTGGTACGAAAAGTCAGGCAGTTTAAGCTATTGCAGATCAAAACTGTAATTGGAAAACTATACGAAACTATACCTTCCATAGAAACTCAGTGTGTTACTGATTTTATAGAAAAAGACGCGACACTGAGAGAAAGAATAGGACCTCACGGGAGAGCCTACGAACTTCTGGGAAGAGATAATTGGTTTATGTGTCATTCAGATGCAACACCATATACATTACAGCCACGCTCTGAGAAAATTGGAACCCAGGATTTTGTCAAGTACTGTGTGTATGTTCCAGTAAAACAAGATATGGTTGAAAAAAAGAATATTGTGAAAACTTTACCGAGTGGAGGGGCAATGGTCGTGAATCATGTACCAACGACCCAGGAGACAGGTGAAAGAAAGACAAGTCTTAATATTTCATATCATATGAAAAGTACATAAATGAAGTTAGTGTTATTTGCTTTTACAGACAAATGCATCAGCGTAAGATTTGTGAATCATCTTGGCGGTCCTGTGCGAGTAGTTTCAAGTCTGAAACCAGAAGGTTATCTTGTTACAGCGAATGCGTTCAAACTTAAGACAATATTCAAACACGCGAATCATAAACAACGTCACGTTATCTTCTACGCTGAGAACGTCCAGGATCGAGATGATGACGTCTTGTTAAACAACAGAAATGTGTTTACTGTGAAACCACACGACTGTTCGAAAGATTTCACGAATGTAGTTTTGTCTTCAGAGATAAATGACGCAGGTGAGTGTTAGAAGTGACCTGTTTCATCCTGAAAAGCTGCAAGAAATTAGAAAAGAAAAACGTAATGCATGATAATCCCAACATAGTGTCTGAGCTCTACTGTGGAAGTTGCTTTTGTGAAATACGCAGTAATTCATTCTTTCTAAACAGCATCTGATGCAGCAATGTTGAACGATGGTTCTGTAACGCCATCTCCAAGAAACAACGAAACTTCAGCGTCTCTTAATGAACTGACGAACAAAACTCCAATCCCCCCGGCACTAGGAGACGGTACAACCACATCTTCGGCGCTGAACGACGGTCTTCGGAAACCACCGGCAGCCGACAATACTGGCAACCTTGGAGCGACAATGAAACCCCCAGCTAACCCTGCCGTGTCTCAAAACCCACCGACGAACACCCAGCCGAAGAGCGCTCCCTCAAGTACGACCCTTTCAATTCAGAAAGACGCAAAACCTGTCATCCAAAGTAATGGCGTGTTAGAGCGTCAAGGAAATACAAACGTACCTGCATCAGAGTTGGTATCGAGTAAACCAATGTATCAAGCTCCGCCAAATATCAAGCCAACTGCTCGTACTTCACTAGGTCAACAACCTGTGATTACTGCAAACGGAATAATGCCAGAAAAAGCAAAACAAGCCTCAACGAGCTACACTGCGCCACTACAACAACAGATACAAACTCTTGATAATGTTCTGCAGAAAAGAATCCAGACTCAAGCAAGACCAGTGTTTAACAACGTATTACCCAATCCTGCAACACAAATGACATTTAGTTCTGGCAGACCTGAGGGTTATGAAGCATGGTCATCATTTGGGCCTTGTAGTGTTACTTGTGGTGTTGGGATGCGCAGAAGAACCAGAATCTGTAGACCTGGGACCTATTGCTTTGGACCAGCAGCGGAGACAAGGGCTTGCATCAAGGAGCAGTGTCCTTGTGAGTGGACATCTGATCGTTGAACAAGTCAGTCGGTGAATTTCACATAACCATTTTTTTTATTTTCAGCAAACTGCATCCACACAACAGGAGGAGTGGTGAGAGACGGTTCTTGCTGTCATTTTCCGTTCTCGTTCAACGGGAATCAGTACTATCACTGTATACTAAGTCAAAGGAATAACGAGAGAATGTGGTGTTCAACCACTCCGTACTATGAACGAGACAAACAATGGGGATACTGTCCCAGATCAGGTAAGACATTGCGTTGTCTACCAGAAGATAAACATGAAAATATTCAGATCATCGGAGAACATGAAGAAGCGATGAAAGCCAAGTATAATATCAGTTTATTTTTTACAGCTAAAGCACCAGCACATCCATTTGTAAAACCTGTGCAACCAGTTGAGCCAAGCGAACAACTGCAAGGCACAGAATTCCAGTCTGACAATGAATACTACGATAATCCTAGCTATACGGACGACGATAATGCATACAGGCCATGCAGTGCAATGTGTTCCCGGGTGTGCGATGAAACATGTCCAAAACATTGTTGTTTGTCCGTCAGAGCTAATCTACCAATAACTGCGGTGAGCTTTTTTCGATAAAGATGCACTAGAAGATGTTCGTCAGTATGATAACACCTTATAAATGCTTGTTCTCTTTTAGTACATGGGAAATAACTACGACAGCAATGATAAGAGAAGCCACGTTTATCCGTTCACACCAAAATACTGATGTCAGTAAAATATAACATATCAATACTTCTGTATGTGTTATGATGTCAGAATGAACTTGAAATGTTGTCAGTTGCTTGTTACAAGAGCCTACTGCGCAGTAAAGGGGAATTAAAGACAGCCCTTAAACTGGGTAGCAAGACTTTGTGATTTTATGAACACAGGTTAAAAGTTAGAAATCACTTACCAGCTGATACCACATTTGAACTCTTGCAGAATGTAGCAAAATTTCACTTAAAATACAATATAAACAACACAATTTGAGAACATCGTCATCTGTAATATATATTATAGCTACCCTGTGGTTAATCATACCTCGTATTGCGGATGACCTTTCATTGTAATTTCATAATCTACAGACGTTTCTCCAGAGCTGTAACCATCTGACACGTGACAATGGGAGACTGGTGAAAGATCTTGTAAGCACCATCTAAAAATACTGAAATTAATTTTCATACCAAGGAGGACAGCCACCTGCATAATACATCAATTCTAAACTTCATAACAAATCTCACCGTTTAGCCACCGCAACGTCATATTCATCTGCTTCTGACCATGACGCATGCTCCGTGAGTAAGGCACCTTCAAAATAAACATAGTTGATCAATAATAGTCCAGCTCAAAGATGAAGAATTTCTGTTATGAAAACAAATTCTTCTCAAGACATCTTGCTCACCTGCATACACACGCGCTAAGCTATACGCCAGATCACGCGCTGCTATCTCCAGATACTCGGGTCTTTCTTCTGCAGCTTCTTGTAAAAATTCCACAGTCTTCCTTAGATTCTTCTCAACGATATCACAAACACCACTGAGATTGCCACGTGATTGAGCACGTGCATCAGATATTTTCTTCATTACAATGTCACAAAAAGCATTGATCACCATTCCCTTTGATTTTGTGATAGCGCGTAAAACATCCAGGGATAAAATATTCGTTGTTCCTTCCCAAATTGGCAATACCTAAAACAATTTATTACGTTTGTATGTCTTGTAAATAAAGAGTGTACACAAGGAAACATATTTCATTGTAACAGAAGATATTCCAGTATATATATTCGACTTTACCATGGCCGTAAATGATTCCAACAATAAAGGTTATGATACCTGTACATCCCTTAACAACCCTGGTAATCCAGTATCTTCAATATATCCCTGACCACCAAAGCACTCCAATCCTTCAGAAACAACTTGCACAGCCTAAAAATGGATAGGACCTGGTAAGATGAGCAGCCTAAAGGTGAAAATGGTAGAAGATGTTTATGACTACCTGTTTTGCTGTGTACAGTTTTGTTATAGATGTCAACAATCGTAACACCAGCTCGTCGTTCTCTGAGGCTTTTCCATTTTCTTGTAGACCAAGAAGTCTGGCAATTTCCAGAACCAAGGATAAGCCAGCCCGAGTTTCAACCTGAATATTAACAAGATATCATTCACCAAGGACAGTTCAGTTCTACTGTAACTCAAAAACTTTTCTTCAGAAACTAATATCAGAAACCTACCTCCATGGTTGCAAGAGTGCGCATGTGCAATGGATGTTGAATGAGATATTTCTGAAACGCAACCCGCTTGGTAGCATAGTCCCTTGCAAAAGACAATATCCTGAAGATAGAAAAAATATAATTTTCTCAAGATAAAGATTATTGTGGGGCAGTCTGACTATACATAAACACCTTTTCAACACCCTTTTTTTAGCGAATATACCTTCTCATAGGAGCCACTGAGAATAAACTATTGTGTATTCTTGTCATTGTCAACATTTGAGAGATGCTGGATACTCCTTTTCCATAATCAGAAATCTAAATGAACATTTATAAAAGTAATTAATGTTACTCTAGGGTACTAGTTGAAACATTGTGAGCATCCAATTACCTTTAACGAACTACTTCCGTCAAGTAACAACTCTGCAGTTGGTAATTGTCTTGTTCCCAATTTATTCTTCAATCTTTGAATCTGAATGCCATTCAATCCACCTTTTATGTCTCTTGTTTCAAGGTAGAATAAAGAAAGACCTTTTGAGCCCTTAAAAAAGGAACAAGTTCTAAATCATATTTATATAGCAGTGGTATATCTTCTAAAATTTAATACAAAAACTACTTACAGCTTCAGTACAACCTTGACTATCACAAATTCTTGCCAAGGTTAAAGTCATTTCAGCATCAGTTGCTGATGAAAACCATTTATAACCATAAAGTTTATATGTGCCATCTTCTTGTGCTTGAGCAATAGTTTCAGTTCCCCCACCTGGAAAAGTTAGAACTTGTGTGATTTTGTAGGGAGATTATTTCATCAGTAATAAAAATATATATTTACCAACATCAGAGCCTCCCTTTCGCTCAGTCATCCACTGCCCTGAAGTCCAGAATTCCTTGGGGTCTCTTGATGTCAAATGTTTGTAGGCATTTTTTAAAACCTTTTCAGAGACAGGAGCATCCTAGGGAAATGTAAGATTGTTATCATCAAGAGGCAATGACATGAATATTGACAATGCATTACAACCACTACCTTCAGTATTTTAGCAGCACCATCTGTCATGGCCAGAGGACATGAATAGAGTCCTGATGATGGACTGAACAGATAAAGCTTTGAAATTTGATGCAGACGACTAGAACAAAAACGTCAGTCTCTTAAAACTTGTGCATCATTTTATCAAAACAGAGCTGCTGTTCACCTCCACTCATGATGTTTATTTTCATATCCTATAGAGATCAATCCTTCTTCTGCAGATATTGCTTTCAGATTTTTCCATTCTTGAGATGTTTTTATCTCATCAACACGTCTTCCCCACGCATCATAATGTTGCAATATGGGTTGGTTTAACTCTGCATGATACCCTAATTCATATATCTCTCCAGCAACCCTCTCACCAAATCTTTTCAAGTCTTTACTAACGTCATTGAATACCTGAAAGAAATTGAGGGTAAACCCTCTTCATTTACTGGTCAGGTACAGTCACACTTTCCCCATTCTAGGGGTGCGGTGGGCCCTGCTTTCTATATGTAAACTATTCCAGTACCCACCTCTGAAGGCAAGATTCGTTTCAGAGATGCCTTAAGAAACACATCTCCTAAATATTGATTTTCTAATGTTGGTGCATTCTGATGAAATGATCCAGATTTTGAATGCTGAAATTCTGAAGAGACTTGCAGCACAGTATTGTGGCTTTTGAATTGTCTTTTGATGTTCAAAACACAGATAATTAATTTATTTCTTGATCTGTATATACTACCGCGATATATTTGTTGCCTTAAAGCACTCAAACTACTTGAAAACATCAGAAATCTTGACCAAAAACCAAGATATTACAGTATTAACTACCTCTTGATAAATGGTTAACCAATCACCGAAGGCAATACGACTTCCCCCGAACCTTTTCCAGACAAATGGTGCTCAAAATACGATTTTTTAAATAATATAATAGAATCATTTGACATCCTAATCGGATGCGAAGTAAACTTAAGATTATTTAAATATACTTTAAATTTCTGTATAAACATTATTAATTAAATAAACAAAAACAACATTTTAATTCATAAATGGACTTTTGCGAAGATGTGTCGAAGGAGAGACGATGACTACCGAAGTTGATGTAAACACCATCACAACACAGTATGAGAAGTTTATGCAGTCGTATTGCAATAATCTGGTCATCATTTCGTCTAATACCTGTGCTTTTCCCTGTTTCGAAAGCCTCAGAACATTGTTATTCTGCCGATAAAAGCTGCAAAGACAGTACAAACCAGAACTTAGCCTCAAAAAGCCAGCAACAAACTCAGGAATATCATTCTGGAATGGAGTGGCGTTCTCATGGGCGGGATAATGATGATCTAATTAGCCAATTAAAAAACTATGGGATAATTAAGAGTGATGAGGTGGAGAAAGCCATGCGTAATGTAGATCGTGGAAACTATTGTTCAAGAACACCATACCAAGACTCACCTCAACCAATTGGTTTTGGCGTCACCATCAGTGCACCTCACATGCATGCCCATGCTTTGGAGATTTTGAAAAATAATATTAAAGAAGGAAGCAAAGTGCTTGATGTTGGCTCAGGTGGGTAAATATATTGCACATATCACTGACCAATCACGTTGTCTAGAACATGGTACCATTTACCAATAGGATGGTGAGTCTCTTTACATTCAAAATTTACATTTGAAGGAAGTGGTTATCTGTGTGCATGCATGGCCCAGATGGTTGGAAAATCAGGCAAAGTAATTGGCATTGATCATTTGCAAGGCTTGGTTGACTTATCAAGACAAAACATATTAAAGAAAGACAAATACCTCCTGGATGGTGGTCAAGTTAAACTGTTTTTTGGTGATGGATGGGATGGTTGCCCTGAAGGTAGGTGAATAGCACAGTGTGATGGTGAGATGAAGATGGTACATTATATTACTTGAAAGGAGAGACTTCTATGAACTGATAGAGCTACCTTGCACCAACAGATTGTTTTTGATAAATTTCAGAAGCTCCTTTTGATGCAATTCACGTTGGCGCTGCTGCGGCATCTGTGCCTCAAGCCTTGGTAAATCAACTAAAACCTGGTGGTCGTCTCTTCATACCCGTAGGTGCTGAGAATGGTGAACAGTTCTTAGAACAGATTGATAAACAGGAAGATGATAGCATTACACGCAAACGACTTATGGGTGTCCGTTATGTTCCACTTGTGAACAAGGAACATAAAACTTAATGTACAGTCGATCTACAAGACTCAATGTCTCATGTTTATTTTTGCCAATAGAAATAAATTCATATTTTACAGTCATATGTTATGTAGTATATCTAACTCTGTATTTGTCTCAGATTAATAAAATTATTTTTGAGGGCTGTAGATGTTTTAAATATAAATTATAGGTGAAAGAGCATAATACACTTTATGCCTAGTGAATGAATACACACATTTAAGACCTTTTGTTCTGTATCTGTAAGTAATTGAGCTAATGCTTGCTAGGTTTGACCTATATCATATTTGTGTTTAATTATTCACTGTAAATTTGCTAATCTCAGTATTACTGACGAGCATCAATGATCATGTAGAAATTCCATGGTATCTTATAAAATAATCTAATCATTCAATCATAAATCTATCTACCTAGTTTATTAAACCTTTATTAGAGCGTTTTGCCCCTCTTCTGCATTATCTGCACCTGATGAATTGCATTGTACACTAACATCATTGTCTTCAAGATCACAGTTTTGTCTGTCATCATGTGCAGTGTCATTGGTTACATCATCATGAGCGACCTCACTGGTTACATCACCATTTTCAATCTCTTCTTCATTGTCACCATCTGCACTGCTGTTATCATAATCACCATGATTAAGCAAGGTTCTGTTCTCTTCAGAATGTCCAGCAACGCTTGCTTTAACAACAGCTCTGTCTTTAACCAGATAAAACGAGGAGATAAGAAAACAAGCTCCTGATAATGCTGTGATAAAAGGCATCATGAAGAATGAATAGAGAAGTCCTCGATGATTAGCCTTGTTTGAATTGTTTGAACCTTGTATTCGGTCGGTTACCTTGAATGATGAAAAAAGAAATGCTGATAAATACGTTTGTGGGCTCTTTGGCATGGATGTAAAATTTTGAACTGGTAAACATTATATGGGTTCCTAGCTAGCTGAAAATATTTCTCTTGTGATTCATAGCTTTAGGTAAAACAAACTGTATAAACATAATACATACCAAACCCACAATATAAGGACTGCCAGCATCTCCTAACAAATGTGATAGCAAGATTTGCAATGCTGATGCTGTTGCTCTGTACTGAGGAGGAATAACTGCAAGCAACATATCAGCCACAGGACACCAAACCATGAACAGAAGAGTTTCACCAAAAAACAGGAGAATCTACAAAGAAACAAGACAACTGCTAACACTTATATTATAGAAATGTCTTTACGGAAATATTAAATTTGTATGAATGAAAATTCATTTATAAAAATCTGTGCAGACCGTACAGTGCAAGTTTAACTTACATAAGAAAGAACAATATATTTTGAAGCCAAGATCAATGTCATAAACAAGAATGGTATACTGGAGAGAAGACCAAATGCACAGACCACAGCATCAGATTCACCATAACGTGGTCTGAATCTACGTGACAGTTCTGCTCCTATGGCAACCCCCAAAAATCCTGAAGCTACAGTGATACCACCAAATATGAGACTGATGTTCCTATGTACAACAATAAAGACATACAAATTGTAAAGGCAAACATAGACTAGGTATGTACTATACTATTCCTCTCTCTGATTACTTTGCAAATGACATCATGATTGCCATGAACAATTCAAAATCATCAATGTGTAGCTGTGTAAGTATATTAAAAAGTTGCTTTAACACTATATTCCCTTACTTGTCATTTTGTGTGATATCAGTACCATAGTAAACAGACTGTGAATACGCCACAAATTCTGGTGCCCACCAAGCTAATGCTCCAGTCACAAAACACATCAATGTAAAACCAATTGTGCTCCAAACATAGGTTTTGCTACAGAAGAATAATTCTGTTTTCACACTGACAATGAGACTAAGCTTATTTATTTACACTAAACTGCATGGTCCAAAATGATCAATCAGTTCTAAACTGTTCTTCCTAGAGGTCCAGTAAGGATAATGTCTTATTGATCCAGTGTTACTACAGGAGGAAACCTACACAAACTAACTATTTATATTTATACTGGATAGCTTTATCAGTTCTAAACAGTTTATCCTGCAGTAAGCAACATCTGTTGTTAAAAATCACCAACCAGCGTAACATATGTTTCACATCATTCAAATATGAATGACGAATGATAACATTCTCGTCTGCAACAATATCACCCTGACTCTTCTCAATTTGCCCCCGGACAGGTTCAACAACAAATATAAAGCACAAGATGATAAGAAGCACACCCAAGAATGGAGTTACCTGAAACACATCAAGTAATAACATGTTTATTTTACTTGTCTACATACCCCGTGTTTTCTCTCATAAAATAATTTAGGTCATGTGACTCACTCTTAGTCCCCACACCCAATTGCGGTCACCACCAAATGCCGAAGATACCTTTGAACCAACAACATATCCAAGACCACTACAAAGTATTCATCATAGGTTAAGACAAGTCTAGTCTTGATTATGGTGATACTTTACAAAATATCCAGGAGACAGATAATAATGAAGATCTTTCTCACCTGCCAACAGGGATTGCAAAATAAAACAAAGCCAACATTTGTGTTCTTCTCCCAGAAACAAAAAGGTCAGCAATAACAGTTGAGGCTACAGTAGAGTAACTAGCTTCACCAATACCAACAAAGCCACGGCAAGCAAAGAAAAGCCAATATTGCTATCGAAAAAAGGTTAAGGCAATATTAACTAGTGCTGAAGAAGCAGACAGTATACTGTTTCTTTTGACTTTACACCATAAAATAGGTTTTGGGTTCAACATAAAATAAGGGTAGACATGCCTAAACAGAATGAAAATTGTTAAAAAAAAAGACTGCAAACCATTCATTAATCATTTTCCTGCTGTTTTTGACATATCTGACTTCTAACTTGCTCTATGAAATCAGTAAAAGCTTACATACGTGTTTATTAACTAGTGTGCTAAGAAATGTTGTTAAGGACCAGATAACAAGGCCAAAGATCATAATGAACTTGCGACTGTATCTGTCACCAAGATAGCCAAATATTGGAGCAAATATCATATAGCTTGCAATAAATATTGTTTGGAGAAGGCCTCCTAAGGAATGATTTATGCTGAAATAACTTGTGATCTTTTGTAGAACACCTGAAAACAATAATCAAATAATGATTGTGTAAAAAAATTACACTGCATTCACTTGTGATAGCAATTCTAACTGGAAGTCAGGAGTTGGGTAATAATAAAGGATTGTAATTATATCCTGTGTAATAACTGCATTAAAATTAATAATCAGGATTTCCAAATTTTGCTTGATTGCATACAAAATATTAGCTTGAATTTGAGGTTGATATTGTTATTATATTTTAACTACAATGTTTAGCTTGAGTTGAGATGTCATACCAGGAAATTTATACAAGGACCATCACATGACAACGGAAGTCAATTATCAGTTGTCCGATTTTCACTTAACCATACACAAATATTAAAGCATCTACGTAATTTTAGGATGTTATGAAAAGTGAAACCTTCAAATATATTAAAACCAACTTTCCATGCAAATAATTATAAATTATAGCAAAAAATCCGATCACAGTGTCGATCAACGATCAAGCACGCACATAAACAACACTGTACGAACCTGCCACGGTGAAGCGATCCATATAGTTGAGTAAATTGATCAAGAATAAGATACCAACAGTGACATAAGCCCGGCGTATTGAAACACGAGGCATGGTTGTTCTTTGTGGAGAAGGTGGTTGCATTTCAGGATTGTTTTCTTTCTCTTTTTTGTTTTCCTGCATAGCAATTGCCTGTCACCCTATGCTGTCACTGATCCATATATGCTCAGAGAATGGTGAAACGTCATGTATAATCCCCTAGCCGGTGCGGAGCACCGTGCGAGGGTACTAATTCCGCCCGGAGATTAGGAATTACACCCGGGTATTCTGACAGAACATAGGCGAATCACTGAGCTATATAATAATTCAAAACATTTTTTTTAAAAAAATAGTTTGCAAAATATTTAAAATATTATATTATATTATTTAAAATATATAGATTGGAATTATTATATAGCTCAGTGAGGCGAATCCAAAGTTGCCCAAATGTCATGGACGTTCGATGGTCATGGTACTTGTGCGCACGCGCAAAATTTGAACGAGTGACGACTGGTAATTAGCACTTGCTGATTGGCTAAGACGAAACGTTCGTGTTTCAGTGAAAAACGTCAGCAATTTAACTGTCATTTTGCAAACTATTTTTTTAAAAAAATGTTTTGAAAACACAATATGAAATGTAGAATCAAATAACAGATAAAACACTGGGAAGAGTTTAAAATATTATCAGAACTGGAAGTATTAGCGGTGAAAAGGAACAACTGGTTTATAATCCTTGAAATGGTAGGAGTCTATTTTGTTTATTTCGAAGTTTCTTTCGTGTTTGCTGTAACGAATACATTTTATGACCTTGGTACAGTATGTTGTTTTGCTCGGTTTTGCGAAGACGTGACCGACTATTTAAGGCTTTACATCGTTTTAACTTCAAAAAGAGTTCTTATTTATATTATTTGTGCTGTTTTGATGTTTTGAAGGTTTAGCTATAATGGAGTATAAACTCTCACTTAAACTGTGAAAGTCTGTAACTTAATGCAACGGAAAGCAGCAGGAAAACGGGTGATTTCACTTCACCTAAAGTTACGACTGTGTTTGTTTCCGAAAAATTTGAAACATCAGCTATCGGCTTTACATTTAGGACATTTCATAATATTGAAGGTTAGGTCTGGCTAGCTCAGGAAATATTTTGCTTCGTTTGAAATGGCGAGGGGTTTCTGCATGCATGTATTTCTAGTACAGTATTGAATATACAGCTCTCATTTTAATAACCAGTGATTTAATGAGATGAATAATTAACCCATGCTAATTCTCATTACTGGAAATTTCCAAATAAAAAAACTGAATTACGTAATGATTCCAACAACCATATATTTTTAAAATTATTTTACGACAGTGTTCTGGGAATCAAACCCAGAAGCCACATACGCGTTTTTATCACTATCAACGAACACGTTTTGGTTTGGCCCCAGGCATGGACACTGTTTTTAAAAGCCAAACGAAAAGGAGGGAAACCGGAGTGCCCGGTGAAAAACCCTCCAAAGGTAACCTGAATTTCAGGTTACCTGACCGGCGGTCCGAATTTGGTATTTTGATTTAGAAATCGTCCGCAATGACAGTTTAGTTTTCATCTATAGTTCACCGTTTCAGTTTCGCTCATCCGACTTCCGAATCTGTTCTAGAAATTTCCATGCAATTCTCGACCCTGCTGGTGGTCTAGCGCACAAAAACACCCGGCTTTTAGAAATTAAGCTGCGCTTCGTCTGACAATGGCAACAAAAATTTCAATTATTCAAATTATCCGGCATTTTGGAAAGAAAATACTTCATATTCACGACTTGCATGCTTTTTCATCTTAAAACCGATGTAGACGACCACACTCTTCTGTTAAGACATGGACCTCATGCACCCTTTTTATTCACCCTGGTCATGCAAGTTACTCAATATCACCCATTATACTACAACAATCAATAATATCCCTTACCTCGCACCGACGCACCGTATAATTACCTTTGCTGGACTGTATTTTACATTCTTCTCTGCTTCATTTAAAACAGTTGCGTTCTTCATCTTCAACAACATCTCGACAGTGAGGCGTGTAAAAATTTAAAAATCGTAGTAAGTGTGTCAAAATGCAAAGGATCTTCGTTAGCTAAGAGGGTGCTGTACAATGTAACCCACAGTTCAACATACCCCCAGATACCCTTCATTAAACAAGTCCAGTTATCATGCAATGTAATATCATGTAATATAGCAGGGTATATTTTCCTTCTCATACAAACTTCACCAAGTTACTCAAAGGTATAAGGAACTCCATGCAATCCGAAAAATCAAAACTAACTAGGATAACAGAAGAGTGTAGTGTCTGAACATCAAATAGTCATTTTTTCGTCTTCATTTCAAACATTAGAATTGCATGCAAAAGTATAATTTTTGTTGCCATTGACGAACGGTCCTTTGAAATGCTCGCATTATAATGAGCTGAACAGAGAACTTATATAATCATATAAGTACTCGCGATTACATTCGTATTAATCTAAAATTAGGCCAATACGAATTTGATAATATGATAAATGCAAATAGCATTTTATTTCCATTTCAACGCTTTAAAGCCGCTCATGCATCACGCTCCCGCAGCCGCATTAACGTGGTCTTATAAGGAAAAAATAGAAACATTTTTCAATAATGTTTTCATATTTTTCGAAATGAAAAGGAAAAACTTTCTTTGTATAAGAATATAATAAGACCACCTTTAGTCGTTCACACCAAGTGACAAAACTTTTCCTCGAGAAACCTCAAAAACGCCCTCATAAGAGCTGTGAGAAATTTCCTGTCATCATGCATTATCGAAAGGGTTAAAATGTCACTTGATGTGTGAATATACTAGGTTAGACCACCAGCAGGAATAAACCATGCACTACATTAATCATGCATTACTCTACCTATGGTATGTAAATAATTGTAATAATACCTCAACCAGCTTCTACTTGTACATCTGTCTCATCGTCCAACATATGATCCTTCAACATCTGATCCTTCAACATCTGATCCTGCGACGATTCTTCAACATCTAATTCATCAACATCTGATCCTGCGACGCTCCTTCAACATCTAATTCATCACTGATCCTGCGACGCTCCTTCAACATCCAATTAATCACTGATCCTGCGACGCTCCTTCAACATCTAAATTCATCACTGATCCTGCGACGCTTTTTCAACATCTAATTCATCACTGATCCTGCGACGCTCCTTCAACATCTAATTCATCACTGATCCTGCGACGCTCCTCCAACATCTAATTCATCACTGATCCTGCGACGCTCCTTCAACATCTAATTCATCACTGATCCTGCGACGCTCCTTCAACATCTAATTCATCACTGATCCTGCGACGCTCCTTCAACATCTAATTCATCACTGATCCTGCGACGCTCCATCAACATCTAATTCATCTCTGATCCTGCGACGATCCTTCAACATCTGATCCTGCAACGATACTTTAGAACAAAGATATGATATTAATTTCCAAGTAACAAATATCACTTAGGTACCAATATTTCACCATACCATACCATACCATCCCATCTGATCCTGAGACGATCCTTCAAATCTGATCCTGCGACGATCCTTCATGATCTGATCCTGCGACGATCCTTCAACATCTGATCCTGCAACGATACATTATCACAAAGATACGACATTAATTTTCAAGTCACAAATACCACTTAGTAGCATTATCAAACATACAATACCACACCACACCATACCATACCACCTGATCATACCACGATTCTTCAACATCTGATCCTGCAACGATACATTATCACAAAGATACGACATTAATTTTCAAGTCACAAATACCACTTAGTAGCAATATCATACATACAATACCACACCACACCACACCATACCATACCATCTGATCATACGACGATTCTTCAACATCTGATCCTGCGACGATCCATCTGATCCTGCGACGATCGTTCATCATCTGACAACAAATGTGTGATATGAATAATCTCCAAGAGAGAAATGTCACTTATGTATAAAGCACTCAGGATATATTATACCGAACCTCCAACACTCCAACGTCTGTCACTCGTAAGGCCTTCGCATTGCGCACGTAAATACAAAATGTCATGCACGTTTTGGTACAAAAAAACAAGAACACTGGACTATCATCTCCTTCTAGAAATACATATTTAATGTTTTTATATTTTAGGCGCTCTCGAAGCGATATTTTTGTCCGGACTATATAGTCGTCAAGATAGAGAAAACACAAGTGATTGGGGCCCCAGAATCACTTGTATTCACTCCGCATGCGCTTGATACGACCAGACTTCATGCAAAAATCATGCACAGGTGGAAAACCTGAAAATAAAGGAGATAAACAGAAGAGTGTTCAGTTTATATCTCAGTCAAAAAAGCCAAATTCCATGCAATTTTTACTCATGCATATTGTCGAAATCGAGTTTTGTATTTGCGTGCATAAATGTCCCAAGGCATGTCCGACATCTCTTTACGATTCTTTCGTTCTAAAAAAACAAAGTTTGGTAAAACAAAAGGACAGAGAAGTCTAGCATAAAGTACATTTATATACCAATACAAATAATTATATAGGCATTATATAGGAGTTTCAATCCGACGAGCATTCCCTTTGGACAACCCTGTCCGAAAAACGAATAGGGCCAGCCTGGAAAGTTAGTTTCAGTCATAAAGTTCTAATTCATTTCTTTATATCAAAACTATTCTAGTTTCGTCCACCCTGACTGTCCGTATGCAAAGTACAAACCAAACGTGTTTTTCAAGTCACAAATGCAAAATACACAAATATTAATAGAACAATACCTATTATTCGCTGCGAGCAAGCCTTTACGTTTCTCCTTCCCCATCTTTCGGCGCCGTAGTTCGTTCTGAAATCAAATAAGCAAGGAAAAACTAAATTAAAGTAACAGCTCACTTGCATTTGACATTTTCAATCGAAATATACAAGATAAAGCAGTAGAAATCGGCAAGAATATGACTCCACTCGCTCACGTCTTCCCACGCTATTCAAATCAAGACAGCGAACAGTCAATTTGTTTACAAATTAAGCCACAGGTAATAAAGATCAAGCCAACAGCTGTTCAAACCAACCATCAACATGTACCTGAGCAAGACTCTTCCAACTTTTCCTGAACTTCTTCGACTGATGCTTCCTTTTCGAGACTGCAAAGA